TTATAATCACACCAGACAATAGACAATGAACTAGATATTATTGGAGCACTGAATTCCTTGGATTTGTGGGTTAGCCTGGATAATTCAGAATAGTTGCAACCATGAGTCACGTAAACATTTGTGATGTAAATGAATTTATATTTATCTAAATGTTACATACGACACTTAACAGTCCTACAGTCTATATAGTTACTAGAATGGACAAAATATACATAATTTGATGAACACCACCGAGTATTAATAAGGATAGCTACACATGCACTACACTTTCTTTGAACTACACCGATCCTAGCAAAATAACCATTTAAAGAAACTAAATTGTTATCATATAGGTTGTGCAACCAAATTCCTTGTAATCTTATTAAACAAGCGTTACGATAGATATTGGAACATAGAAGGCATTGTAAATAGTCTACCTTACCCAGCAAGGATCTACAGTTCAAGCTGAGTATTTCAGGAAGCTTCACTTGATGTGTTTTGGTTTGCTTTAAAGTGCGTTGTCATCCAACATGGTGTCTTTCTTATTTATGTTTGTAAAATTCATAGCGGTAGGTAGATAATTTTTAAAAAGTTCGCGCGAGTACTCAGTACTATTCAAGGTCATAGTTGGACAGATTAAAACAAATAAAAACAGAGTAAACTTGATGCAGTATATAGCATGAAAAAATTAGGTAGCTCAAGGTTTAAGCAGGCTACCATATTTCTATCAACTAAACAGTCACGCTGGGGATTTAGTTACGATTTTAAAGGATATATACAGATACTACTTATTAGTTGGTTGTGATAATTCATAATGATATTCTTCTATTTTCAGATTGCTTTTAAGTAATTGATTTCATTTCAAAAGAGGTAGTTATAAGGTTTTGGAGACCAGTGATATTGGTTCAAACAGAAGCCTCAAATTGTTATAGTAATCAATTAGGTTTGAAAGAAAACAGTGTATTAACTGTTATGAAATGAAGTAATACCCCGTCAATCCCTCAAAGAATCCCAGAATTCCCTGAAAGACTTCACAATCAATCAAAGCCTATCGAACATTCCCAAACCATACCTACAAGCTTCAGACGGGCTAAATATCCTCCTAGAAATGTGAGGAAAATATCAAGGTTGTTGAAGGCATATATCTAACATTACTTTTGTACATGTTTTGATTTAGCAATAAACCTTTTATTACTTTGCCGCTACTTTCTGTATTCAAAGAAACAAGCTGTCCTTGGGGGTAAAGCCTAAAGTTATTGTTCAAGAGTTCAACCTAGATTTGTAACATCCTAGTTTATAAGGTCAAGAGGCAAAATCAATCATCTTCATGATCTGATTTTTAAGTAAGAGTTAAATGATCAAAGAGAAAGTGATCTTTCTTAGAAAACTAAAGTTCAACAGTCACTGTTCAACTAAAGATGCCCATTTCAATGTGACGAAATTTCAGTAGAATTTTGTATTCCTTGATTCTTTCAACTCATTTGGTCCATCATAACAGTTTATAGTTCGTGGCGTTTTCAACCATTCGCGCACTAAGACTCTTACTTTAGCTTCAGTTTGCTTTCTTCAATGACAAGCGACGTTTTACAAGTTTCCCGATTACTAATTTATAAACCTAGATTAAAATGCCACGGTAATATATTCTTCATATTGTTAAAGATAATAGAAGGAAAAAGAACTGACAGAAGTAGGAGAATGTGAACGATTGGATTCCGACCTAGTGACCCAATGATAACATGCTTGCTGCAAAAAAACCTGAAGGTCCTGGGTTGGATCCCCTGTGGGGGTCACGAGTGCGTCTCCTGATGAGTCCTATATCGGGACGAGACGACTGTGCAGTACTTGCACATTTCTATCGGTTTTCCAACTAGTATCAATCCATGGTGAATACCGACTTGAGAAATAACTAATCAGTTTATATGTGGCTCAATTATAAAGTTTGTATATGGCAGGTTTTCGTTGTAAACCATAAGCACGAACCAAAAAAGATATTCGATCTTGAATAGCCATAAGAAGTGACATCAGAATATTTAATCACTTAGGTAACTGACCATCTAGATAAAAATGCTGAACACCAGTTCATAACATCAACATGTTTGTCTTCATTGTACATGTTATTCACAAAGGCTTCTATTACGTAGGGCAGGGACAAAAATAAATGTCCAGTAGGTGGTAGATTTTTGTCAAGAAAAGCTTTTTACTTAAACTCTGTGAATATTCAAGTTCATTGATATTTTAACTTTCCGTGTTATGCAGAAAAAGACGAGCTTTAGTTTATTACCTCTTCCCCGCAAAATTCACTTCTAGACAGTCAAGGTAAATAATGATGCTACTCCGCGTTCATTGTTCGTAAATCTAACTCCCACTTTGAAACTAAAGGTGGGTTTAGTTTTTAAAGTCAACATAATATCACTGAAGTAATTCTCTTTCAGGAAAGATGAAAATCGTATCTGTACTCAGTTTGCCACTATATATTCGAATCTGACTGGATCGCCTCAAATAAGTTTGATTTTAAGATTACTTTATTCGATCTTTTCGAAAGTCATTCTTATTTACTTCACAACACAGGAAGAGAACTAACCATGGGTAGAGAAGCGATAGATGAAATGAACGTGAACGGAGAATTGTTTACAAAATTCTGCGCACTCAACGATTTGGTGATTGGATGCACTGTGTTCAAGCACAGGGATATCCACAGAGCGAGCGAAATGGATTTCACCAGACACCAGGACACACTAAAAATCAGATCGACTTCATCTCAATCTCAACAAAGTGGGGACGTAGCCTACTTGACACAAGATCAAGAAGGGGAGCAGATTTAAGCTCAGACCACTCACTGTCTAATGCAAGGAACCTTCCAAATCAAGTTGAAAGCCTTCAAGGAAGCTGGCGATAGACCACAGTTCAAGTTCAACACCCAGGACAGAAAGTGAAGGATGAAACTACAAAGGAAATCTTCACGGCAGCCATCAAGACAAAATGGGAGATATCGAGCAACATCCCTGAAGAGACCTGTGTGGAAGAACACTGGAACTCTTTGAAAGCTATGTAGAAAGAAACATGCACAACAGTATTAGGAAGGAAGAAGAAAGAAGACAAAGAGTGGAATGGATCTCGATTGACACATGGAAGCTGATAGAGCAGGGAGAGGAAGATGGTGAAGCAGAAGATAAACCAATGCAGTGCAAGGATGAACAACGAGAAGAGGATCTGAGTACAATGTATAAAACACTACACTGGACAAAGAAGTGAAGAAGAGTGCATGCAAAGACAAGAGACACTTCCAAGACACACTGGCAAGTGAAGCAGAACAGGCTGCAGGTAGGAGAGATAGAGACCTGACAAATAACCAGGTTACTATCTACCAGGGAAGAGATCAACACACATGAAACCAATAAAAGATGATGAAGGGAATATAATTACGAAAGAAGAGAAAAAAAGGAAACGATGGGCCGATGACTTCAAGAAGCTCTTGAATCAACCTCCACCCCAACCACCGAAGAAGAACGACCTAAGTCTTTGCAAGAACTAATAAGGAATCATGCTCCTGTCCCTGTCCACCCCAAGCAAAATATTAGACCGCATCACTCTGAGGAGAGAGATTAAAGAACGCTGTGCATTCAGAATTAAGACCCTAACAGGCTGGATATAGGAGGTACAAATCATTTGCAGACCAAACTGCAACACTTCACATCATCATAGAACAGAGTATAGAATGGAAGTCAACTCAAGTCAACCTCAACTTCGACAGCGTCAACCGAGAAATAATTTGGAAACTGCTCCAACACTACGGAATACCACAAACATTTATCAACTTCATTCAACAACTATATGAAGACGCCATATGTCAAGCAATTCACAATGGGAAGCTCAGCTCAGTGATGCCTTTCAAGTGAAGCGGAGACAGGAGTGAAACAAGGCTGCCACCTACTATCACCCATGATATTCCTGACTGTGGTCGACTGGATCATGAAACAAACAGTGAGGAGCTGTGAGAAGAGGGGGACACACTGGCTGGACCGGGGAAAAGAACCTATAAGAATTAGATTTCGCCGATGACTTGTGTCTCATGTCACACAAACTTGAAGATCTACAGGCGAAAACGACTAAATTGGCAGAAGAGGTGAGGCAGCGAAGACGTGACTTCAAGTGAATATAGAGAAGACGGAGGTGATGAAGATACCCAAACAACAACACCACCACCAACAACAACAACAACAAGCTCCAATCACCGTGAACGGCAGAAACCTAAAGGAAGTAGCCTCATTCACCTATCTGGGCAGATCAGCACTGTCTCAACTACAGGCGGCACACACGAGGACGTCAATGCAACCAGGATCGGAAAGACAGCAAGACAGGTGTTGATTAACCTGAAACCAGTGTGAAGATCTCCTGCACTCAATACAAAGCGTGAACAAGATGCCGATTTTCAACACCAATGCCAGTCATGTCAGTGCTTCTGTATGGTTCAGAGACTTGGAGTGTCATGAAGGGGATTTCCAACAAACTACAGATATTCATCAACAAGTGCCTACACTGGCTCATTACTGAAGCTCAGATGGATTGCAGAATGATAAGATAAACAAGAAGGAACTGAGTCTGGCTGGCTGCTGGCAACGAAGCAACCAAGAAGCTATCGCTCAACAAATATGTAGGGGGAAGTGGAGATGGGTTGGGCATACACTGAGAAGACCAGTTGGGGGGACATCACGCGCCAGGCGAGGGTGTCGAGTGGAACCCAGATGGGAAACGAAGAGTTGGTCGTCTGAGGTGAGGGTGACATGGAGGAGGTCATGCGAGGAGGAGATGAGAGCTTCAGGGTTGTCGTGGATCCAGGTTGAGAAGATTGGAGAGAAGAGAGTGGAATGGAGACGTGCTACTGAAGCCATATGTTCCACTAGGAACCCAAGGGATAAATAATATTAATGATAATAATAATGAATTATGACGTTGAAGAAGAATTCATATATCCAGATTGTATGATTATTATCATACCTATAGACACAGTGTACAAGTCGAAATGAAGAAAACGCTAGTGCCTCTAAGTTCCGCAATTTATGTTCTTCAGCCTCATACTTCATTACGGCAATGATTATCTTTTATTACGTTACCACTAACTGCTACTATTATAAGAAAAGCCACAGACTGAGATGCAGGACAGAATGTGTATTATTGTAAACGTTTCATTAAAATAGTCATTCGCACGATGTATTTTCTTCTCCGATCTCGATTTACTCTTCATACACCTGCATTGTCTCTTTCATTCCCGTTGACAGAATATTTGCCCATTGCTGGTAATTGTCCATGATTTCTGCCGACTTCTCAATATATACTACTTATAACCATTCTTATCAGTAGTACACATCTGAACTATCACATAGTAACCAATATTCATTTCTGCTTATTATTTTCATCCTAGTAGTTAATCTCTGCAATTCGATGAATAAAATGAAAAACTCAATAATTTAACTATCAACTGAATGACAAAGAAAGGAGAAAAGTTAATATTTTATGGAAAACTTTATTCGATGATATAATGGAAGATACAATGAATCCACTGAATACTTTTGCAAACATGCATTGGTCATAAAGAAGTAAGCGTACATAACTACACACAAACGGAACAACGAGATTATACTGGGATATTATTCCTTCATAACAGAGAACAAGGACGTGAACACGAAAACACATAACTCCCCTTAAGCTTTTTGATACTTATACACATGCAGATACAGTACACATTGATGCTTCAAGATCCATCTTTGAATAAAGAATTTTATCTACGGAATAAAGTAAGCCATTTTTGAATTGATACGGTCCATTTAGAGTAGATATATGACTTTCTTGTCCTTGATAAGAGAGTACACCATCTGTAAGAGAGAAAACAAAGTATGCAGTAGATTGTTGCTTGACTTATCGCATAAAAATCAATATGGAAAGTTAACAAATTGGAGCAAGTGAATGAATGTCAACGGAATTACTTGAAAATAGACAGATAGAAACGTAAGGAGATTTGGTTGCTTTACATCTTTACAAACTGAATCTCTGTGTTTAACTCGACCGTCAAGGCATATGGATTTATAACTTCAATTTATTTCATTTTCATACCTAATGGGAGATAATCAGTTGATAAACAACGCTCTCACTTGCTCCTCATCTCCCTAATATAATGTAGTCCCACTAACATGTATTCTCCTGACTCAAGTTTATCACCTTTTATGTTAACTGTTGTGCAATCAGTAAATTAACAGCTTGTTTACACGTTTACCAATCTTATATGGTTACCGTATTCATTACTTTCCATCTTCTCTCTCTAAAATCACTGGTATCTTTTACTGCTTAACCAGCATTTTAGACAAACTAGTCAGTCACTTTTATGCAAACATATCTACAAGTTTAGTATGATTATTGGGATAGTGATAAGTGTTAGAGCAAGCAAACACCAGGAAACGTTTACGCTGTGACGAAAAATTTAAATTCAAGATGATATTGTATTACTGCCTTGAAAATTATTCTCAAGTTTAGTACCATAGTATACAGTCAAATACAGTGAACTAGGCAATGAAAGTTGGCAACTAAGAAAAGTTTTCATGGATGCCTAAAATACCGCTAAATGGATATCATGAGTAATATTCTGATTTGACTCAACGGAAAGAAGAAATATTTCTGAAATATTTAACAGTGAATAGAAAGCTTAATGTCCTATCGAAGTGACATTGAAGATTATTGATCCAGATTTTTGATACTAATTGTCTTGTGTAGAATTTCTAATTTCAATATGGTACACATCAACTGAAGAACTGTTGGAAATATGGGTGCTCCGGACAGATATTTCGCCGTAGCTTAGAACTCTTTACTCACAAACCCATCAAGGATGAAAATCAGGACTCTTAGGTCTTGCAGCGATTACGTTACCACTCAACCACTGGATTACAATCCAAGGGTCTAACTTTCCCTCCTACCAGCAACCAGTTATTTGACATAACCACCATCCAACTGAAATCAGTCCATGATGAATATCACCTTGAAATCAATAAACCTACAAGAACCTCCAAACTGAAATATTGTATGGTGCCCATTAGTAACATGCTTTGAGATGAGATTTCCTTAAGTTGTACAGAGAAGTTGTGACCGACAACGTGGGAGCAAACCAAATTAGACGTGAAGACAAATACTCGGCGGTGGCACTGAACGAAGAGAGAGCTATATTACGAACAGAGAAAAGTAGAGAAATGAGTGCCGTTGGCTCAATGGTGCCATGATCACCCCAAGAAGGTCCTGGGTTCGGTCTCTGGAGGGGTCGTGAGTGCTTGCTGTTCTACTAGGACGGTACCGTTGTTCAGTGCCCTCAGTTTGCTGTGGTTCTGTGACTGATACTGGCCCATGATGAACAATACCTCGAAATCTGTCAATCTCTACAAACCTCCAAAGTGAATGAAGTTCTAACTGTCAAGTTTTCTTCCTTGTGAGGAACAATAATTTCTACATAAATTTCAAAACAACAAAGCTTTCATTGAATTGTAACACGAGGTATGTTATTTTTCTCGATAATCTTGACGACACCTGGACTTTCTGGTGTGTCTTGTGATAACTTCATTCTATTTCCCTATTCTACATTTCTATTTTCCATAGACTGGCCTAACTTTTATTATCAGTCTATTTGACTAATAAAATTAGTTTTCATACTGAGTGATGACTGAAGGTTAAGTGAAAATCTGGACCGCGGTAGGTCAGCAGTCGTGTGTTGTAGCTCAGTTGATAGACTACGTGGTCTCGAACCTGGTGGTCACTGGTTCGAATCCTGCTGTGATCCAAATCTTCATTTTACCTACAATCATCACTCAGTGTAAATACTAGTCTGTCAAACCATGGCTAGCTCAGATAGTCAAAATGATAGTTAATATAATATTATATTTATTTTAACAGTTAACTGATAGGCATCCGAAATTCAGTCAATCATGACTATTAATACATGTAATTATACTATTTGTGCAGGTAAAGTACACCCTCATTTCCTTTGGTGACTAATTTTAAAGATTGTATCAGTTTTGATAATATGATCTTCACAGTTTTACTGACTTTTTGACAAAAGATGAAACTATCAGAGTCACTGAATTATTTTAAATGATTAATACTGATTTAGTTTGTGAGGATTTATTGATTTCAAGTTGCTATTTATCATGGATTGACATCAACTGGCGAAATATTGGAAATCTGGGTATAGTGGACTTCTGTTTCGTCCTAGTATGGGACTCCTTAGCAGCGCACACCTACAACCACTTCTGAGAAGTCCTATACTAGGACGAAACATGTGTCCATTGCTTTCAGGTTACCAATGTTACGCCGACTGATGTCAGTTCATGATAAATAACAACTTAAAATTATTACGGAGTTACTTATCTTTTTGACTTGTCAATCAGGGTTGGTGTGTAATGAAGTTACGATCGTGTCAAACTTGTAATGAACTTTACTACGAATAGTGAACTCTAAGTTAGCTTCCTTCTTTCAACTCCTCAGTATCCCTTTATTTTACATATAGCCAATGATAATTTACATTTATGTCTAGGTTTGTGTCAAACCCAGGGAATAGAGTCCAATCTTTCATACCCATTTATTAATAAGCTAAAATGGTTGAAATATTCAGAAGTTGAACACTTAAAGACTCCTGATTTCTAAAGAAAGTTCACTAGATCAATCCTAAACATTAATTATTTAGAGTAATACTTGTGCAAAAACATATCTACGAAGTCTTGCTTTCATTGACCATATGAGTGTCTCATAAAACCTTCAGAATTTCTCAAATCCACGAAACGACAATATTTGTTACATCAGTTACAACAGGTAACAGAAGTGTAACTGGCTTACATAGAATGAACAAATTTCTAGTTTGGCCTGCAACTTACATTTACCTGAAAATAATCAAATAAGAACGCAAAAGTGATATGTTTCAATCAATCACTGATTTATGGTCATATCCAGTTGACGCGCCACAAACAGGATGAAACGCACACGTTAGATTCCAATCCTACCCACCACTAAGTAAGTTATGATAATACATATCCAGACAATACCTAGGCATCCACATAGGAGCTCATACACTAACAGAGACTGACCATATCAACCTTGTATAACAAAAAACAATTGAAAGTATCAACAAGTGGTTGTAACTGAGACCCGTTGTACCCCACTTACTGGGGTGCAAGTATATTCAGCTGAGGAGTCTGGTATGGGTCAAAAAGCGCGTTCTGGACCCCACTGCTGGGCATCACTGGGTAAATCATGGTAAAGATGCACGTCAGACAGTGATATCTATCTAAACTGTTTCGAACCACCCTTATAATTCAACCAATCAGCTTCATTTGCAAATCACATAGGCTTTTTATCAAATGCGTTGGTGTATAATCCCAGTCTGATTCCAGTTTTCTTATTTGTCTATAACTTAGTAAGATATAAGTTCTGGACAACATTCAGTCCTTTGTGTGCAAATGGAATGCTGTCATTTTTTGATATGTTCAATTTGTGGTGATACATTTTGGAACCAGTTCATGTATCGCGCCTGAAAAGACGTGGCATAAGTGAAAATCGACATTCCAAATCATCAGCCGCTAAGATAGAGGTTTTCCGATTTAAACCTTGTTTCATGTTACTGTGTGGCCAGGAAATACCTTATTGGACAATTTTGTCCTACAGCTGACCATTCAAAATCAGTATCCAACTTCCAACCTACTGGCTTTATTTTCTGAGGAAAAACCGTTTCTTGTCAAATAAAGTTGTTTTCCTTATAGTTACAAACTGGTCTTTGTCTTTTGGTTTTAGTGGTTCAGGTGTGAGCGAGAACAGTAGCTACTCATATCAAGTTCAAGTGCTTCATTGCACTAGTGGTGCTCTCGTGTTTTGTATTATTCTGTCAGTCACTTTCAGTTAGTCACTTCAATGTCTATGCTCAAGATAAGTTGTAGAGTTCTGGAAAGACAAATTACAACGTTTGTATACTTGATCTTTTGACTAAGATAACGATATTTTTTAAGGTAATTAATGATCACATCTTCCTAAAATAGTGCAAGAATCTCTATAACATTTTTGTCTGCTTTCTGGCTGTCAGTGGGATCCTAGACTCACGTTCCGTCCTATTTGGAACTTGTCAGCCGGATATACTTCCAATCCAATAAGCCATGTTGTTCCCACCGACACTCAAAACCAGTATCCATCGTTCTAAATACCAAAGCATCTATCACTAGGCCATCAGGGTATGAGATTCACTCCTTGTACAATGGGTACGGGTTGTTGTTTGATAATAGTTATGAGTCAAATCTCTCGACCTCTGTTGATAGACGGGATCCTTTGCAGATGGCTTGTTACTGTCTGACGACCCAACAGTGGAATCTACGACGTGCATTTCGCTTTATTTGAGACTCGTTATCTGGGTATACCTCCATTTTAGTGAGTGCTATCATTCCAACTGATAATCAAGCCCAGTACCCTTCACTTCAAACGTCAAATTTGTTCTTACTGAAAATCAGCCGTGACGAGTAACACAATGATGACTGCTTGTATCATCTGCAGGGAAATTTGACTTCCTAAGAGTTTTCAATATGGATCATTCAGTTGTGTAATCATAATCGTTATCTGTTAGCTATTGAATAAGGAGTTTTTCAAATTTACACTATGTTTCATAATTTAGGCATACAGTGAGTTAAAACAAGTGAATAGCTTAGTTGTTCAATTCTCAACTGAATTATACACGTAACATACCTTTATCCGAATTTATAGTTTTAATATTCAAACGTATTTCTTCACGTGTAAATGCATAATTTGCTGTAGCTACAGAATACACTTTTTCTACACTCAAATCTTGAATTATCAAATCAAGTGGGAATGTATTTTTACGAAACACCTGAAATTTAATAAGATTATAGTGAACCATAAAGAAATAAAATTATTTATGAAATATCAAAATGATTTATTATACTACCTCTATTCAACTAACATCTCTGTCAGTGTATCGTGATGGTGAATCTCCATGCCTGATCGACCGAATTCGATCACCACTGAGGACTAGACAAAATAAAAGTGTCTAATCCAGTTCTATAATAGGTAATTTTGCGTCCCTAATAGCTCAGTGGTAGGGTCTGTGATTGCACCACTGGTTGATGTGGATTTGAATCGCAAAGAGGACATCAACTCTTTTGAGATTTTGAATTCTGCTTGATGACAAGCTGCAGCACCAAAGAAACCTTGGTGAACCAAGGCTTCCTGCCAATTGCCTCCAGTCATTTGACATCGAAGAAGCTAGGTGTTGAAGAAATTACTACATAAAGAAGTTCTGTCACAGTAATTATTATTACTGTATGAAGTCTTGGCTTCATAATCAACAGAGAACTAGATTGTTTTAAAAACTTCATGGTTTGTACCATTGGTGATGGATTTGTGGCTCATTAGTTTGGGCTGTTGACATTTCTTTCCATCTGACTGGTCACACTACAAACGTTTTAGCTTTCAGACGTAGACTAGACGGTCTCATCTCAACAGTTTGACTTCAATTATATGAATCTTACATAATAAGTATGTAGAACAAAGTAGTTGGCTTATCTTATACAAATATGATTCGAATATCTATGAGCTTTTCCTTGATTTATTAAAACTTATTTTTTAAAGTGAGGAAGAGAATTCTTCTCTCAATTACAGTGTCTAGATGGTTCTCATTGTAAGATGGTAATCAAGGAGCAACAGAGGACTCTTTGGTGAAATTACATTCCATCATTAGTCGTATACTAAAATCTTAATAAAATGTTTTTTGATTTTTTTCACATCGACAACTTTACTTACAAACATAAGCACTTGAAAACTGTTCACACTGGTCAGAAGGGATAGTTAGCCTAATGGAAATGATCTTCAATGAAATGATTCCTAGTGACTGATATGTGTCATCATTAGCGTCCTAGATTTGAACTAACCACTTTGATAATAACCTTTTTTAGTTGAGACACTACTAAAAATCAACACCTATGCAAATTAGTGGGAACTATTTTTCGCAACAAAAAGCTATAGAAGTAGCTTTGTACGATTTAGAAAAGCATACAAAAACTGTAGCATTGTTTTAGAAAATGGATGAAAAAATGAAACAACTCTAACTTACAAATTCTCTTCTCAGTTTTTCAGCCAATAGTTTTTTACCCGCTGTGCTATCATTATCCATATTACTCATAGCTTGATTAGTTGGTATTAGAAATGTATACGGTTCACCGACTGTCATCGACTGGATGAAACCAGTTTTGTAATATAAACTGATAGGATAGAAGTAGCAAAAAAAGATCAAAAGAATAAAGGTTTTTATCAAATTTAGCATAGTCTAATTAACTTTTACAGCTGAAGGTGAAAATGGCTGAGATGAATTGTAAAATAACCTCCAGCGAACGAAAGATGTCTATTAAGACTGTCCAGCACCTGGCATCTGCCTTAGGGAAGACAGGATTAAGTGAGGTTTTGACCTTTTGAAATAAATCAGCTAACCAAATCATCCTAATTCATGTCATATCTTACACCTAGTGATGATAAAATTATATTCCTACCGGGTGATGATTGAAGGCTGCAGGATTCGAACCAGAGACTACTGGGTTTCTAGCCTGGTGTCCTGCCAACTAATCTACTAGACCAAACTCCTGACCAATCAAAACCATTATTAATTGTATTGAAAGTAAAATCTGATCAGCAGTTTAGTCTCGTAGGTCAATTGGCGGAGCAGTGAGCCGGTAGCCCACAGGTTGTTGGTTCGAATCCTGCCACGGCTTAGATTTTCATTTCACTTTCAGTCATCACCTAATATGAATACAAGCTTATCAAACTATGGCTATTTCAATTAGTCGTGATAAAAAATTATATTCATCCACTTAACAATGCATCTATGAAGTTAAAGTACACTTTAGTTGATGTTGGACTATTGGAGAAAATTGAGACCAAGTGGTACTTCAAGGTGAGCTGTACTGCACCATTAATTTCAGTTAGAGTCACAAAGCTGTGATTATAGACGTTGTCACAAAACTCTCCAAGTTATCTTTTAGAAACACAAAACATGAAAACCACCTAAAATAAGTTTTTTACTGAATCACTGTTGTTCGTAAATGCTGAGTAGATGGATGTAATCACTGCTCATTCCTTCTTTGATTAACTAGACTAGATTGGATTTTTAATATTCAGTTTGTTGACGTAGTTTTTTTCATAAGATTTGAAAAAGAAGTTGCTGTCTTTGTAGCTCAGTGTATAGATATTCTTTGTGAAGCTGTGATCCACTGATGACACTTAAACACCCGACAAATAAAGTCTTCAGCTCTGAGAATAGCTTACTCTGAATAATTGCTGTCTTCTTTACAGATGTCCAGTATTTTAGTGAATTGTTTTATAATTATTCAATGACATTAATGAGTTAACTTACCTAAAATCAGGAATTCTAGCCACATACTGTTGAACAGTTTCATAGGGTAGACCTGGAATACCATCAATTGTATGAACGATACCATTTGTTGCTACTTGATTAGCGCTGATGATACGTGTAGCAACATAACCTTGATTGGGAAGACGACCTTCGATAAACGTTGCTAAATGGAAAGAATAGAGTGTTAAGAATGATTTTATTGTATTTTTGAGATGAATGGGGATTTTCAATTTAGAAGTGGTATTCATCATGGACTGACATCAGTTGGGGAACCATTGAAAGTCTGGGACTATTGGACAGCTGTTTCGTCCTAGTATGGGACTCCTCAGCAGTACGCACCCACGACCTGGCTAGCGGTCGAACTCAGGACCTTCAGGTTTCAACGCGAACGCGCTCACCATTCAGCCACTGGGTCGGTTTCCAATGGTTCACAATTTCCGACTTCTGTCAATTCACGACATAGCGCGACTGCCACCCAAGGTCTTCAGTTAGTATCCACTTCACTTCCGACTGGTTGACCCCACAGGTCATGGCTTCTCATTACAACTTCCTAACATCCATCTGGAAGCAAGTCACTAATCAGCACTATAGAGTAATGTATTTTTGAGATGAATGGGGATTTTTAATTTAGAAGTAGTATTCATCATGGACTGACATCAGTTGGGGAGTCCATGATGAATACTACTTCTAAGTGATTTTATTATTTATTCAGTCGTTAAGAAAATCCCCTTACTATTCTGCTACTGGCTATCACAGATTGTTTTTCTAACACCACACTGGCCTAGTATAGTATTTTTATATAATAAATAAGTATAATTGAGATAATAAAAAAGTAGGTCTTGAGAGCTCTTTCGATAGAATCTTCTTCAAGTCGTGTACAAAGTAGTATTAAAATAGTTTTATAGAAAGTGTATTAAAATTTAACTGAAGAGCTGATTGGCTGAAGTTGAAAGTTGAGTTGTTTTCGATTCGATAACACCAACCTCTGAATCACCAGTATGTAGCGCAGCTGATTGAACTAAAAGATTCATTGGCTGATCACTTCTTAAATATACTTCAGTCATCTTGAGTTTTGTTCAGTTTTTATGTATATGAATAATATATGACTCTCCTTTTAAATCTTCACATTAGCTGTTCAGTCAAGTTTTTTCATTCTAATTGAGTTCATTGGCTCTGTCAACAGACTAGGGAGTCAGTTACTTAGAAGTTATCAGTTTAAACCGTGCTCAGGTTTACTGTTAAACCAATACTGTATCAAACAGTATAATCACTAAATAGTTATTGATATTTGATTGATATCAGTAAGAGAATCATTGAAAATGTAAAAACACTGGACACTTATTTCATTTTAGTATGAAACTCCTCAGCCGTGTGCACCTATGACTCCACCAAATTATTAGCAATATAGTATTCTCAAAAGTACTTTTTGTTCGAATAACCAAGCTTTTCTTTACCAAGTTCATTTTAAACAGCTTAGTGCTTTCTGTTATATGAAAACAGTATGTATTTCTCTTGCTTTCAGGTGATATTAGGTGCACTCTGTAGGTGGATTATAGTTCAGTAAAGAAAGTTAAAATAACTGTTTGTGGAGTTAAATACTTTGATGACTAATGAAGCTTAGAAAAATGTAAATGTAGCGCAGTTTATACTTTTCATTATTAGGAATAGTACAGACTTTCCTACTAATTGATAACACTTCTTACAGAAATTTAAATCTACTACACAGTGGATTATTATGCATTGAAATAGTCCCATTAGGTAATAAAAAATTATGAAAAGATAATTTAGAGAAGAGAAGTTTCTTTTCAATAAATCATTTCCAAAAGCTGTACATTTGAAATTATAGTTGCAATAAAATATATATTCATCAATAACCAATGGGTTAATACAAGGTCATCATAAACGATCAGTAAGGTCAAAAGCCTATTGTGGCTAGAAGGTCAATTCAAGGTCACCAAAAACTGTTTATATGATTACAATACAAAGAAAAAATAATAAATAAGACGTCTTAGGGAGATTATGATCAAGGTAAAACTAGAGACTGAATGCATCCTTTTTGAAATCAAAGATCTGGCTTGAACTACGGGTTTGCTAGGGCTTCTAGTGTGTTGAGATAGAGAATTCGTACTCACTTCGAAATGTCTGATTTGACTTCATAAATGATTTTGAAAGATTTTATTGGATCACAGTGATAAAAGTTAATCAGATACTCAAGAACCGAGCTGTTAATAGATTTGGGCTCTTGTTTAGACAGCTATTTAGGATAGTGTTTGAAGATGCGTTTGAACAGAACACGCTTTTTCCGGCCTATGTTAGTAGCTTTACAAGAGCAGATGAAATGGTAAAGATGCATGGAGCGGTAGTTTATCCTTCGCACACCCTCGAACCAGTTATCGACTATAGAAAACAGTCCGAAAATGAGTGGTAATGGTGATGAACAGTTTTACTTTGGGATGAATTTTAACTCTTTGGTTTCATAAATTGTAGGTAATTCTTTCCCTCAGGTCTAACTGTAAATTGGAGGTTGTGTAAATGAGAATGAATTGTTAAGTAAACTAGCGAATTGGTAAAACTTGAGTTATTTAACCATTACACATAAGTCTAAACTGTAGAAATACAATACCGCTCAATTTCTATAGCCTTCCTTTCAAAAATCCACTTTTCCTGAACAGTGTTCAACGTGTTATCGCTTTTACAATACAAGTGATAAGTGTTATCTAACAATTACCGGTAATATGTTCTTTTCATGATGCTTGTTGTTGATTTAATCATATTATTACATAAATACATCCTTAGAAAGGTGGATAGTCGAATACAAGCTCACTTGTTAAATCGATAGGAGCGCCTTTATAGGTCGCTCTAACAACCACTGAAATAACCAATCATATCTCTAGATTTTGCCTAGGAAGGTAGTGTTTTCATAAAATATACAAACCTGATTGGTTATTTCGATAGTTGTTAGGGTGGCCTTTAGAGTCAATCACTCAACTGATAGACAAGCAAGGTATACAAAATCAAGGTAACCTCTGTAATTTGTAACAAGTACTGATCAGCAGAAATATTGTAACTTTACTATCCTGTCAATTATTATAGAAGTCACTTGGAAGTGAAATGAGGCATAAAATCCCTTCGCATTTAGTTAATCAGACACAGCATACGTTTGAATAAATATTAAAAATTCTTTTTCATGCTGTATTGTATACTGGTAATCATTTAAAGTAGCAAGCTAATTTGTTAGGTCTTCGTAACATGTTGTAGTTGATGATGGGAGCTTCATACAACCTCATCTTCATCAAAATCTATGTAAGGTGAACAAAAAAATTAGATTCGGAAGTAATGAATACAAACACTTCTTGAAGTATACTATAAACTATTTCATTTCCTAAAATTAGACTGTCAAAGTTTGAAAGTATCCTAACCATCAAGTGACTGAACCGGAACGTTGAGGAATAATACAAAATATATGTTTACATTGTTATTTATTTTAATATACTTCTCTGGGAAAACACAAGTAAAATACACCTTATACCATGTAATATTTAAGGCCACCAAATACTGGAAAATATTTCAGAGAAAGGCGTTTTATAATAAAGTAACATTTTATCGGTTAACTTCATAGATTATATAATGAATATAAACATAGCACCTACATTTATCCACTGTTTTAAAGCGAATAGCATCCTGGAGACTATCAACGGTGAAACGACGACCTGGTATCATTTCCGATGTTAGCAGTTTCACAGGTAAAAAGAGATACTTTAAAAAAGTTGCCTGAACAAGAAAGAAAGACATAAGAAGAGTAAATCAACAAGTTTAAAGATTACATAGAATAAAAATTTTATCCATATTTAGCAGATAAAGTGAGCAACAATATCCAGCGTATACAAGTCAAGAAGTTGATGATTAGCTTTACACACCCTACTGGGGTTGAAAACATGACCTGTTGTATAAACAAAAGTGGCTGAGGTGGGATTTTAGTCATTTAAATAACTGAATATCTACATTCATAGGCCACAACATAATTACAGAGAAGTTTTATTACCATACACTCTTCTTTGGTTTTCTACACTGCCTCTGCTTTCTTGAGTCGACCAAAAGTCACCACGTATAAGGATAGCTTCTAATTAGGTGCATATGTGTGAAAACGGTGAGCAAAACAGACCATGAAGTCCTGCTAACGGAGAAAGCTTCAAAGTATAGAGTATCTACTCTCACCTTCTGAGCAGAGACGACAGCAGAGGGATGAGTTATCACACTAAGGTCGGTTTTGTCTCAAAATCATTGCTATACTAATGTCAGACCTCCTCTCGCCATGGTTAGATGGCGGTATCCAGGTATTTCAACTCTAATGGTCTATATGGTTAGCAGACAAGTGACTAGATCTAGGAGTCAGTCTCTGACTGCTTAAGAAGACCAATTCTCCAGCCAGGAGGGATGATGCAAGCTTCATCGCTTTGTATATTCGATATCAGCTTCTGGTGTAGTCATCAAGGTGTTTAGTAACTAATCCAAACGCAGAACATTGACGCATATCAGCATAAGCGAATTATGGTACATCTAGTTTATATAAAAGTCTCAACTACGACAGCAGCAGAAAATGGACTGCGTATCATCCATATCTTTTGAAAGTTATTAGAACTCTGTTTCTCACTACAGTTTAGTACGGTAAATTTGGAGTTCTCAGTCTGAGACAGCAATATGTAGGCCGCCAATTATTAGCAGCTAATAGAGTTTACAGGAATACGCAAATAAAGATTGGCGTGAATAAAAATGACCACATTGAAAAAGAAAATGAATTACTTGATACAGAAAGATATCACTTAACTTCTTAGTAGGTGTCTGCTGCCAATTTGGTTGTTTCATAAGGACTACTGTTAAAGTTACGACTCCGACTTCTAAACGGAAAAGACCCGGTGTAACATTTTCCATCTAAAACTTCTGGGAGGATATATATATATATATATATATATATATATATATATGTATATAGTCAACATCAGACAGAACATAGTTCAACATCCCAAAAGAAGGGCATTATTTATTTCATGTAGTACTGTTTACCTATCTAGGCAGCATTGTTTCAACTACAGGCGGCACACACGAGGACGTCAATGCAACCAGGATCGTAAAGACAGCAAGACAGGTGTTGATTAACCTGAAACCAGTGTGGAGATCTTCTGCACTCAGTACAAAGCGTGAACAAGATGCTGATTTTCAACACCAATGTCAGTCAAGTCAGTGCTTCTGTATGGTTCAGAGACCTGGCGCGTTACGAAAGGGCTTTCCAACAAACTACAGATATTCATCAACAAGTGCCTACACTGGCTCATTACTGAAGCTCAGATAGATTGCCAGAATGATAATAATAAGCAAGAAGGAGGTCACTGTGGCTGGCTGGCTGGCTGGCTGGCTGGCTGGCAACGAACCAACCAAGAAGCTATCGCTCAACAAATATGCAGAAGGAAGTGGAGACAGTCGGTGGGACATCACGCGCCAGGCGAGGGTGTCGAGTGGAACCCAGATGGGAAGCGACGAGTTGAGCGTCCGAGGGTGAGATGGAAGAGATGGTGTGAGGAAGAAATGAGAGCTTGTAGGCAGTCGTGGAGCCAAGTTGAAAAGACTGGAGAGAAGAGAGTGGAATGGAGACGTGCTCCTGAAGCCATATGTTCCACTAGGAACCCAAGGGACAAATAATAAAAAATAATAGTGCTGTTCAGCTATCATATACTGGTATATTAATAGATAATATGAACCAAAATATACCAAGTGATACCAAGAAGAAGTCTGAGCATGTAATTTTTCACCTTTTTCAAGGTATTAGTATCTCTATGACGGAAATTTCATGCTTTACACTATGTTGCTACAGATAAGTGCTCAAAGGAATTGATCAGTGATAAAAAATGGATAGTAATTCGGTGCAGTCCAATTAAAAAACGGGAAATCACAAGAATTAATCAGTAGCAAATGATACCTGTCACACGAGAGGGGGTGGGATGCTTGAAGCACTGGCTGTTGAGGTTGAATATGAGTAGAAACACTTTTAATCATTGAGATGTTGGTGCATTCACTTGATGTGAGCCTAAGACTAACGCTTTAAAGAGGTTCTTAGCCGACTTTATTTGAACTGTGCGTCTCATTCACTTTCATACTGCTTTGTAGACTTATTCACTAACCGAAATAAATGTAATACCATACGAATGTTATTAAGGAAGGCTGTTTGAAGTTGTAAATGAATGCTTTTAACTCCTTTTCCATCATTCAAAATACTAGTCATTCAGTTCTGTTTGAAGTATCCTTTCCACAATGTTGTCGAAGACAGGATATGATGAAAGTTTTTCTCTAAAGTCTCATGAATCTCGGAAACCAGCTATTACTTTAAAAAAAATGTTCGGACTACTTATAAGTAGCATGAAAATTTTAAGGTACGTTTTATGAACGGATTACATATAACAGACATTATGAAGTAATCACTTCACAATGTGAATTAATTCTTGTCTCATAACTCCACAACTTTGTAATAAACTAGGCTACTGATGCTCGCAAAATGAAATCAATAAACAGACGGAGAGAAGGAAAACGAGCTTAGGAAGATCAAATGTTTACCCATTCAACTTAGTGGATGGTTTTAATATATGTGTACAAATAGGGCAACTTTTATTGGCATCTGTATTTATGACTGTCATTTTTGAAGGTGGGAATGCATATCCTGTAGACAGGATAACATGTTAAGGGGGATTAAAGTTATGTCTTTTGATTGGTTGCTGGACAATAACCAGTTTCTTGTTGTTTAATCCCGAATGGTTACAGAATACTTTGGGTTATTTTGTAATATGGCCACCAATCTCTTTGACTTCAGCTCCGGGTCACGTGAGTTCAAATCCTTGAAGGGACATTAGTAACCTGAATGTTGTGGATACACCCTACTGAAGTGTGACAACAAGTGTGAAACGTAGGTCGATCAGAGCTTATTGAAGAGTGTCAGAAAACTGCTTAGGAAATATGTTCCAGCACAAAAATCTATCTAGTGACACATGCAATTTACGGTAAATTTCACTAGTTTATGAACAGATTTTATATATTCGTAAAATACACAAGAAAATAAGTATATAAATCAAACTGTCTGGCAATGTCACTTCCGTACAGACCTAGTTTTATTCATGCGGACAATGTCCATAGTTAAGTGAAGATTTGAGTAGCAAGTGTTTAAAACACAGAACCTGTTTGGCAATTATGCATCGTGGTTTAGCAAAAATACATTTCAGCTAATCATACATTGAAGTGTTCAGTTTTAAATGGGAAAGATTTATTAAATGTCAAGTGGATGGATGTAGTTTTTAGTAGTAACACCTATGTCTAGTAATGATGGATAGCGGTGCAATCCAGGATGCGCGTTCCGCCCTATTTGGGACTCGTTAGCTGGATGTACCTGCTTCCCAGGGAGTAATATTGTTCCCGATGGGATTCAGACTCTGGATTGACCACCTCAAGCGCCACAGCGTTACCCACTACACCACCGAGCCACGATAGTCACTTCTTGTGCGACGGATACAGTTTTTAGTACAATTGTTTTTATATACAACCGCCGTTGATTCGACCGAATTGATCGGTCTATATTGCCATATGGGATCCTGTGCGGATGCCTCGATATTAACGATGCTCTAATGGTGGTAATGATGGAGAGAGACTGATCAATTCGGTCCAATCAACGACGGTTTTATATAAAAGCAATTATACTAAAAACTATATCCGTCGCACAAGAAGTGACTATCGTTGCTCGGTGGTGTATTGGACAGCGAGCTGGCGTTTGAAGCGATCACTCCCGAGTCCCAACTGGAACGAAATTGCTTTCCGCGAAGCAGGTGCATCCAGCTGACCAGTTCCAAATAGGACGGAATGCGCATCCTGGATTCCACCGTTATCCATTTTTACTACCATTAGAGCACCGGTGACATCGAGGTATCCGCACAGGATCCCATATGCCAACAGAGACCGATCAATTCGGTCCAATCAACGACGGTATGATGTAAAAACAATTATACTACACCCATGTCTAATTCCAAAATAATATCTGAGCAGATCACTCACATTCAGTGAATAAATTTCACTATTAATAGGTTAGGTTATAAAACATTCTCCAACAGGAGATAAACGAGCTAGCTGCTATTACTGACAAATTCTGCGAAAGTAATTGATATTATTACGAAGACAGCTTTGATGTTCCACAGGCTGAATGGAAACATTTAAGTTTCTTGGAATATATCGCAAAAGAAGTACTGAGATAATATCAGATATGTTTACCAAAGAACTTGTCTTCAAAATGACACGAAACCTAGACTGTTAATTCCCCCTCCCTCACTGGTTCATTATGTCAGTTTGGTCCTCTTCGTAAAGAAAATAGTACACTTCAATACAGGTAATTTCTGTTGATAATGATGAGAATTCTTGATGTTATCAAATAAATGCCCGCTTCCTATCGTACTGACCACCTCGTATTACTTCTTTGTTCAACGATTCAAGTTTTAGACTACTTATACGTACAAAAGGATGTAAATAAATTTATTGGTCAAATCTCAAATAAAAACGGTAACAAATCATCTCAGTATTATAAGACATAAAATAAGGGTTTACTGGTAATAATATTTTTCACAGAAAACTAAACAAAATTTCAATGTTTCCATCAGTAGTCTGATAGGTGGAATTTCCTCTTTATTCAAATTATGTGAACAGTCACACAAAGCTCGAGTAACTTTGTATGAGTATGATATACTATTTCTAGTCCATTAATTATCTGTTTCTAACTGAGAAGATTCATTGGAGAACAACTGCCTCCCTTCAATTCAGAGGTTTGTGGGGGATTTATTGATTTCAGGTTGGTATTAATCATGGATCAACATCAGTTAGAATACCACTGAAACCTTCAGAGCACTAGACAACCATTTCGTCTTAGTACGGGGTTCCTCAACGGTGCGCATCTATGACCCTGCAGATCGGGCACATTAACTCTGGATTCATTGGGTTGGAATTCAATGGTTCGCATTTTTCTACTTCTTTCAACTTACACTATAACGAGACCATTATCCAATATCGTCGTTGATTACCTGTCCTCATGTTTGACTTAGTTTACCGCACTGGTAATAACTTCTGACTAGAATTTGAAAGATTGCATTCCAACCCAATGGCTGAGTGGAAACATGTTCACCTAGGAACCTGAACGTCATGGCTTAGACTCTTGACTGGATCGCGTAGGTGTAGTGCTAAGGAGTCCCACACTAGGACGGGACAGATGTCTAATTCTCTCTTGTTCTTAGTGCTCTGAGTGATTATTGTAACACCAACGAACGCACCACTGGGAATCAAAAAATTTTTCTGATGAAAGTTAAAGAGCATAAAACTTGAAACTTTCACCAAAAAAGAATAACTTCAACAACCCTGCGCTTACTGAGACAGGATGTATTTAAATCTCTAGAATATGGTTTATGTTTTAGAAGTTCAGAGTTGTACGATCATCATGAGTATAAGAAATTAGTGTACTACATATTATGGTTTTTAAACCTTATCTATTTCATATCAGTGATAGATAGTCGCTAGCAGTGGAGTCCAGAAAGCGTGTTTCGTCCTATTTAGGGACTCGTCAGCTGAATGCACCTGCCTCTTAGTGAGCCTTGCCCCACCAGGACTCGAGCCCGGGACCGTCTTCTTCCAACAGCAGAGCGCTATGCACTAGACCACCAAGCCACGACAGCCACTTATTGTGCGATGGAGAATACAAGCAACAACATTTCATCTATTTTGTTTATCGGTTTCTTTTTAGTACTATTCCCATATTCAGATCTGCTTACGTCAAGCTGTAATAATTCTTAGTGATTAAGTTATTCAGCTCCAGTTATAAGCTGATCTGTTTATATGAAAATATTTTTCCCGTCTTGGACTTCTGCCTGCAAATGAAGTTAAACTTTTCCTGTACAGAGTGGATTTATTTCTTAAGTCTTCTTTCGTAGTGTTTACAATATAGACTAGGATAAGCAGTTTTTCAAATACATGTGGTTTCACCATACTTAAGATTAATACTTAACAAAAATGCGCAAAGGCATTGACAGTCACCGGTGTTACGATTATGAAGGGTTTCACACTTCTCAATACAATCTACATAAGTGTACAGAATTAAAGACAGCCGCTGAATGGAATCTATCCCATTGAAACACACCCCTAGTTGGCATGATTAGTTATTAAAGTGAATTCATTTGCATGAAAGCAAATGTAATTGTTCAGATAATTAGAACTAGATTGGAATTTTGACTACCTAAGATAAGTGTGATCTCGTATACTTGTATTATTGGTACTGGGTGATGGTTGAGGGTGAATTGAAAATTTAGGCCTTCGTGGTCGTTAGTACGGACCCGGCTACGGTTCAGGTTTCCATTTCACCTTCAGTAATCGCCCATTATCAATATAAGTCTGCCAGATCACAGCTATCTCAGATAGTCAAACTGATAATCAATATGGCACTTCTCTTCTCTAATTCATCTAGATTTGGATTGGGATGAGAAGTCCAAACTGGGCAGCCGGTGTGAGTACAATCAAGTAGCAGTAACGTGTCACCTAGTATTCGTGCAAAACCTTTGGTGATTGAAGTGAAATACAGATCTGGTCAGTAGTTGGGTTTCAAAGCTCAGTTGGTAGTGTACCGGAGATATAACCCTGTGGTCGTTGGTTCATTTTCATCTTCAATCATCATCCAGTATAAATAGATTTATTACTGAGAAGAGATGAGCAGAGTTTGCACTATTTCAAGCACATGATGATGAATAAGAGTTTACATGAATATCTACGTACATGCGATGCACTGTCCATGACAAATCAAAATGCAATTTTCATCAAACTGATTTACCTTTTCAGTTGAAGATAATTTGTTTAAATTTTGTACAGCTACTGCGTTTGGTGAGAATATTGTTATCTCTGATGATGATGTTAATAAACTGTTACAATTTGTGTCTGATCGACATAGTGACATCAAGTTCCTACACATATTGATAGAAATATCCAATAAAAGAGAAAAAAGATGAGTTAATCAGTTGGCCGGTTTAAGAAGCAGTCTGTTACAGTGTCATTCAACTAACTAGTGTAAGATATTAATTTAGAGGATACTTTATAAGAAATAAATAGTAATTAATGATGATTGAAGGTAAATTGAGAGTTTTGGGGTTTATAGGAACTTGGTGATTTTCTTCGAGTTGGTATTTATCATGGACTGACATCAGTTGGAGGACCATTGGAAACCTCGGAACACTGCACAGTCCCAATATGGGACTCCTCAGTAGTGTGCACCCATGACCCTGCTGGAGAACAAACGCAGGGCCTTCAGGTTTCGTGGCCACCACATTACTATTGAGCCACTGGGTTGGTAGAATCCACTAGCCCATATTTCCAACTTTTGTCAGTTCACGACACAGCGCGACCATCACTTAATGTCATCGCTGAGTGTATATCCTCACTTCCCCTCACTACTGAGGAGTCCTATACTAGGATGAAACAGTTGCTGTCCACTGCTTCGAGATTTCCAATGCTTTTCCAACTGAGGACAGTCCATGATGAATACCAACTTGAAAAAATAAATTGAGAGTTCTTATCATGCCATTTCAGATTTTTCGATTATTCGGGCAAACAGTAATACAGTATTATTTACTGAGTAATTTTCAAGCGCATAACCTTATTAAGAAGTATATGGGACTGCCAACACCAGGAGTGTATAGATCATTCATTTATCATTCTTTAGTTTCAAATATAAAAGGGTCCTCCATATTGAAACCAAACCGCAACAAATGATCAGTATAATCATGAGCTATATTTTATGCTTTGAAAGGTTATCCAGTAAGTAATAATACAATATTATTGACGATTTCGAAAAACAAATCGAACATGGAATTACATTCCGCTATGATATCCAAGTTCTATGCATATATTTGGTCATCATCATTGTTTATTCTTGAAACAATGATAAATTGCGCTGAAACTGTGACTCATTCATTAAGAACACAACGCCTACAAGCCGAATTCCTGCAATATAAGCAACTGAGCCATGTAAAGTAAAGCACTGTGGGTACGAGGTTGATAGGCTTAAAGTCATTTGGATCACCTGAATCCAGCCATCTATTATCCTTACTTTGTTCACCACAAAGTCGATCAAAGTATTCTTCTTAGTATACCATGGTATATACCATTTTCATTCTGATTCGCTTGGAATTTGAAGACAAACCGTTTTGAATCCTTCTCCAGTACTGAGACAAACAGGAACTCACTGATTATGCAAACATTACACTATCATTTTGACTATCTGAGACAGCCTTGGTTTGGCATACTAGTATTTATACTGGGTTAGGATTGAAGATGAAATGAGAATTTACACCACAGCCGAATTCGAACCAGCAACCACTGGGTTTCCTACCCGATATCCAATCAGCTGAGTTGTGAAACCCAACTGATGACCAGATTTTTATTTCAATTCAATCACCAAGGGTTTTGCCCGACTAACATCTGCATTTGGGACGCGTTACTACTGCTTGATCGTACTTACACTAGTTGTCTAGTGAGAACTTCTCAACCCGATCCAAATTGAACTCAATTAGAGTGAGGGAGCATCATACTGAATATTATTTTGACTAACTGAGATAGCCATGGTTTGACATACCGGTATTTATGGTCACATAATCAAAATAATAATCAGTATGATGCTCCCTCACTCTAATTGAGTTCAGTTTGGATCGGGTTGAGAAGTTCTGACTAGGCAACCAGTGTAAGTACGATCAAGCAGTAGTAACGCGTCCCAAATGCAGATGTTAGTCGAGCAAAACCCTTGGTGATTGAATTGAAATAAAAATCTGGTCATCAGTTGGGTTTCACAACTCAGCTGATTGGATATCGGGTAGGAAACCCAGTGGTTGCTGGTTCGAATCCGGCTGTGGTGTTAAATTTTCATTTCACCTTCAATCATCACCAAGTATAAAAACATTTCACTATTGAAAACTATTTCTTAGCGATAAATCACTGTCTTTTCCTACTATTATGTTGGCAAAAGTAAGTCAGAAGTTGGAGACAGCTGGTAATTATTGCTGGTTCCGTTCATATTTGGCTTCCTCAAGGAAAAGTACAAAACCAGAGTCAAACGTCTTTCTGTTAGTTACTGTACATTTTTATGTCAGAATTTGCTTTATAGCCAATTAGCCAAAGAGTTATACCGTACAATCAATCGGACCTTAGTTTTGGGAGAATCAGTAAAGTTATTACTTGGATCTTCACATAGAAGTAATTATTTACACAATGTTAAAGATGGGACAGAGATAACTAATAAACCCTTTGGTGTCTTTCAGAAAATGAGATCAGATTGCAGTTAGTATATATGAGATTTAGTGGTTGATAACACCCTCATTATTCTGTTTTATCATACATGCAAACAAGGGAGAGACCTCAATGAACAAACGATATGAAGAAATTTGATTCTTAGCTGGACGGAGGCAAACGGTAAAAAGTCCTACTGGACCAGGTTTTGAGGTTATTAGCATTCATCAGCAAGGCATATCTGTAAACTAAAGAGAAATGATATCTCGTGTGAGATTCTAACCTACATCACCAAGTGTTGCAGTCAGGCACGTTACTAGTGAACTATTCGGCCCGTGACTGACCACTGTAGGGCTGGATTGGGTACACTGAGTGGTCACTGGAGGCCAGTGAACTACATGTTGTCTAGTCCTAACTGCTGACCGAATTATATTGATCATTTCTGCGAAGTGCCTGCGAGGCTAGAAGACTAACCATTGCAACCCAGGTTCAAATCTGAGACGAGACAGTAGTTCCTTCTAGGATGCGGATACGTCTCGCTGAAGATAATTGTTTAATGACCACCTCCAATGAAGTAAAATTCATCAAAATGTACCACGATGCAGAGCGTCCTTACGGGGTGGTCACATTGCAAAATGAACCATAGAATTCCTTCAGCAATCAGGAATAGGTAGAATGAAATTACTCACCCTGCAGTGACCAATCACTGTACACATTCTTACTTTTGTGCAAGTTACTCCTATCAAATGATTTTACTTATTTGAATGTTTCTAAGATACGGTATAAAGAGAATTCATCGTCTGTGGGCAAATCATCTTAATCATTTATTGATGCTTTTTGTTTCTCCTTAATTACTTTACTGGACCAAGTTGACGTGTCACTTTTTGTCTATAAGGCGGCTGAACAGTTTTTCAATAGGATGCAGATACATTTAACTGATGAGTCTTAAATGCCACGAAATGCATGGCTTAAATTCCACTGCTGGCTATCACTCCGCAAATAAAATCAAAACGAAGTAAACTTATCCCATAAATATACGTATAATAATTTTTCAGTTGGTAATTTCACCGGGATGTAGTTCCGACACCAGCGCCGTTAGTCGAACACATCATCGGTATTGTTCTAATGGTTTTGAAAAAAAATCAATATTCAAGTGGACTGTGAGCTAACGCTTACTTTCAGGTAGCACTCAGTACAACAATTTTGATCACAGTCACTCACTGTATAACTAATCGTTTATGTCCGTAAGATTGGGTAAATTTATTTTATTCAGTAACAACTCACTAAGATTTTGATCAAAACTGGAAACTTGTGATAATAATGAAGAGATAGATATCTAACATGAAATTGGTTACACTCCAGTGACCAATCAATATAATTAATCTGGTACTTCAGCAGATCAGTCACAGCCTAAATAGCTCAGTAATAACATCGGTGACAGAAGCACTGAATGATGTGGATTGGAATCTTTCAGAGAATATCAGCTCCGTCAAAGTTGTTGCCAAGTGTCAACAGGCATCAAACCTAGGTCGATCAGGGCTTCCTGGTAATTGCTTTTAAACATCTAAATACCCATTATATTACGAAAAATGTCTCACAGAGCTTTCATGCATATCTTTTCTGTCTTATTTATACTATCTGCCTGAATTCAAAAAGTGAGTAATTCAGTTCATCGGTGATCATTAGTAATCAGAATCTATTGATCAGGTTGAAGAAAACGACCACTGTAATGGGTGATTCATGCAGTGCTGTACAGTGACTATTTTAGAAGAATTGGAAATACGCTGAAAGCGACTCAGCCAGGATTAAACCGTTTCTCGAAGGAGTGACAACAGACTTCCTCTCTCATCTCTTACATATTTGACGTACACGAGGGGGCGAATTAAGATTGGAAAGTAGACCCACATGCCTCCAGGAGATCAACATTATACACGAACTTATGATTATCTTTAACAGCTTCGGACAATTATCAACCCAAGCTAAATGAACTACTCAGCAATGCAATTCACGAAAGATAAGTAAACTATATTAATCTTGACGACTGTCAGAGGAACCCAGGACACGCAGTTTGTCCTATTTGGGACTCGACAGTCAAATGTGCCTGCGCCCCAGTGAGTGATTATGCTCCCATTGAGGCTCGAGCCCCTCATCATAATGATTGTACCCTTTGCACAAGAGGTAGCTAACGTGCCCCAGTGGCTTAGTGGATAATGCTTTGGTATTTGAAGTGGAGGGCCGTGGGTTCAAGTTTCAGTGGGAACACCATCACTCACTGGGGTTCAGGTAAATCCAGCTGGCCAGTCCTAACTAGGACGAAACATGCATCTTGGATTCCTCTGCTAGTCACCGAGATCAGAATAACGTCATAAATACCTGGCAGTATCAAAGCATCTGCAACGGAAATTACAAGTATCATTGCAACTCTGAAGGTATCTTGACCGACAGCGGACCGGATGTAACCGGATGGTTGTAAGGTCACAACCTTACGTATCAAAACTTGAATATTAACCTGAAAACTTAATGTCAGATTTATACCGTTGAAAAGGATCTTCCTAGCAAGATTGGAACGTTGAGGAATAATATAAAATATTTATTAATTTTGTTATTTGTTTTAATATACTACGCAGGGACTATACAAGCAAAAATACACCTTATACCATATATCATTACAACGATAGATAAACTAATTCGACTTACGGATTAATTCTATTCAACATTTCTTCTCGTGTCTCGTAAACAAACGCTAATGGCTTTTGAATAACATGAACAATAGCCTTTTGAATGATATAACTTTTATCCTCAAGTTGTGCTTCAGTATTACCACTTGAAATAACAACTAGATGTGAAAGCGAAATTATACGACAGTAAAAGGGATATTCACAATAAAAACATGTAGATATGAAGTTAACTTCACGAAGAAATATTTGTTAAGCCAATTATAAGTATTTTCTTTGAATGTATATAAAAATCTCGAGTACCTCTACATTTGTACTTAGCTTCCTAGTTATTTCATCATTTGAATTGCCTTCTGTCTCCCGATCTCTTCCTTGGAAACTATTATTATTATTTGTCCCTTCGGTTCCTAGTGGAACATAGGACTTCAGTAGCACGTCTCCATTCCATTCTCTTCTCTGCAGTCTTCCCAACCTAACTTCACGACTGACCGGAAGCGTTCACTTTTTCCTTATACAATCTCCTCCATGTAACCCTCGCCTTGCATGTCCAACTTGTCGTTTCCGATTTGGGTTCCACTCGACGGTCTGGCTGGCGAATGATGTCCCCAGTCGCTCGCTCAGTCTATGCCCGCTCCAATCCATCTCCATTTACTCCTGCATATTTGTTGCGCGACGGGTTGTTGGTTGGTCTGTTGCCAGGCCGAGTCAGTTCCTTGTTGCTTATTCTTTCTGGCTATCTGACCTTCAGCATCACTATCGAGTGAGCGTAGGTGGCAGCTGTTGATCCATGTCTGTAGTTTGTTGGAAATACTTTACGTAACTCGTCAAGTCTCCCTGCCATATAGAAGCAATGACTTGACATAAGTGTTGAAAATTCGGAGGTTGTTCACGCTTTATGCTGAGTGCAGTAGATCTCCACACTGATTACTTCAGGTTAATGAAGGCCTGTCTTTTCCGATCCTGGCTGATTTGACATTCTTATCTGTGCCGCCGTCGCCGTCGTCGCCACCTGTAGTTGAAATGATGCTGCCTGGCTAGGTAGGTGAAAGAGACAACTTCTTTTAGATTTCACCTGTTGATATTGATTGGTGTTTGTTGTTGTTGGTTGGGTATCTTTATCACCTCTATTTTCTCTACATTCGCCTGATGTCCCGTCTTCCTTAGCTGCCTACCTCTTCTGCCAATTTAGTCGTTTTCGCCTGTAGATCTTCAAGTTTATATGACCAGACACTAGACATAAATCATCACCATCGGCGAAATCCAAATCATCTAGTGTCTTTTTATCGGTAAAACAGCGTATGCTTATCTTCTCACTCTTCACAGTTTGTTGCATGATTCAGTCCAGTCGACCAAAATCAGGAAGATCATGGGTGACAGTAGGTGCCAGCCTTGTCTAACTCCTGCCCTCACTTCAAAGGCATCACTGAGCTGAGTTTTTCTTTGTGAATCACTCGGCATGTTCAGGCCGCAGTTTTGAACCCAACGCATTTTTAGTCTCTCCAAGATGATGCAGCTTAATATTTTGCTTCCAACCTGCAGGTACCTTTCCTTCCTTCCAAGCCTTCTGCAATAGTTGTGTGAGCATTTTGGCTGTTGTCTCTGCGTCTGTTTCAGTGCTTCTGGAAGAATTCCATCTGGCACTGCTACTTTCCCCGATTTCGGCAACTTTATGGCGTTCAGGACTTCACTTCTGCTTTTATGGGAGGGCTTGCATTCCCTGATAATTCAGTGGTTGGGCTGATGGTGGTATTTCTGGATGAGTTTCAGGTGGTGGTGGTGGATTCAAGAGTTTTCTGAAGTAGTCAGCTCATTGTTTCCTTTGTTTCTCCTCTTTAATAACTGTTTCGTGTGAAGCCATGTACTTGTCAGCTGCTTTTTAAATAAAACGATCTAGTGTACTGTCACGAAATTGAGTTACTACTTAATTTTGCCTGGTTAGGAGCGTAGTAGAAACAGTCCAAAAGAAAACTAGAACACTCCTTGCCAAATGGCTATCTAGTTTTAAGGCATCGAGATCTGTTGTTTGACACCTGTAATTTTCTGTTGCCATACAAAGTCGAAACGCTCCACCTCAGTCAGTAGATGGACTTTTCAGCTAATTTCTTGATACTACTGGATACCATCATTTTGTATTCATATTGGTGATTAGGACTGCAATCCAATAGGCAAATTTCTACCTGCTTCAGACTCATCATCTGGAGGCCGATGAATTCGACCCAGTATAGCAACGGGGAATCATAAGGATCAAATAAAAATTGATACCCATTGTACAAGAAGTACCTCTCGGGCCCCAGTGGCCTAGTGCACAACACTCTGGCGTTTGTAGTGAAGGGTACTGGGTTCGAGTCTCAGTGGGAACAACTTCACTCACTAGGGCTTGGGTACATCCAGCTGACAAGTGTCAAATAGGACAAAACGCGTGTCCTGGATGAATACCGTACAGAAAATTGTTTCTACTTTCTAGATGAATGTTGCTTGTATAAACGCTTATTGAAATTCAGTAACAGTTATCGATGAACAGATATTCAAGTAAGGTGAGTGCAGGTTTGATTACTCATGGTGATACAGATACCCATTAAAATGTAAATACATGTTTAGTTGACTAGTTCTAGCAAGATCAGAGCAGGTGTTCTGAAAATTTATTTCGTCTCACCAAGATGTGACCAGTGTAGATATATATAAAAGTCTTATTCACACGTTCTGTTATCGCATAAAAAAATATCTGTAGTGATGATTAAATTGATGCAGGGTTATCGTTTTTAAATAGTACGCTAGTCGAAGACGGTTAACTTTACCGATTTGTTGATAAGAACATTAGAAAAAGAATACAGGACCGGTCACTCACTCTATTTTGAAGAATAGCTTGTTCATAGACCTAGGATTTAAAGGTGGCAAAGCATGAGATGTACTTAAAAATAGTCGAAGTAACGTTCTTCGTAGAAAGACTTTAGTTGACTTTTACTGACCAAAAACTATTCTCAGTTCGAATTAAAGATAAGCTTCTTTGTCTGGCCATCTCTGCGTCCTTCTACCAGTCCTTCTGCTCTGATAGAGCAAAGTACATCAGCTGTAGCCAGAGGATGCTTTCTCCACGTATACGAAAACATGTTCAGATTATTTTTATAAATGTGATAGAAAGTCTATTAGAAATTATATCCTAGAACATTTAATTGCTTCTGAAATAATGGAGAATCTTTGTAGCTCAGGTCGATGGTCTTGTTTGTATTGTGTTCTCTGAACCAGCTGAGAGAACACAATACAACCAAGATTTAACTGCTTCCCATCATTCAGCAAACCCAGACAATGAATTTAAAATTGTCTATAGGATTTGCTTAAGCCTTCCACATTTTCTTCGTTTTCAACTCTGTAAAATGGCGGAGACCTTAATTATTCATAGAGTGAACCCTGATCAGTGTGCACAAAGAAATTTTTTTACCATGGCCATAACATTTTCCCAGTACTACTAGCTTTCCCTCTTTTGTTAATTTTTGTATCTTTCCCTTATAATTATCATTGCTACTATAATTGCCTTCGCTTTAAATTGTTTCCGATATTATTTCATTTAATTGTTGTGATTTTTTCAGAAAACATCGATTTTAATTTGACCAATTTGTCTGGTCCTGTTACATACTACTTTACTGATTTACCACTCTCGTCAATTTTAAATCCCTTTCTGAGTTAAGTACATTTTACGAACGGTTCTCTTGATAAAGTAACCTACCTTTTTATCATTCATACTTCAACTGTTATCATGTTTATAAATACCTTTATGATTTTCACTATTCTCATTCTTATTAATATGTTGTGTTTAATTTTCCTCACGGTATATAATTTTTCAAATACCATCCAGATGCGAAGGTACTGCTTGAAAATAAATTTGTTGGAAAGAGTCTCTTCACTGAATATCTTGTTCATAGATATATCCATATTTTTTTAAAGAAATAAACCGATATATATTGGCACTGAAAGTACTCTAAACTATGTAATATAGTGGTAAGAAGCTGGAATCAGTGATCATCAAGATCAACATGGGACCAGGCATTACCACCTAGTAGTCCAGGTTGCCACATCTCATATCAGCACATCAAATGACAAGGCAGTAAAATGGAAGATGAAGACGGAAGAAAACTCGATCAAAAGAAGTAGAAAGTAGTTGAAGAGAGGCAGGAGGAACAAGAAAGTGATGAGGATTATGTGTTTATTCATCTGTGCCACTGACATTGATTCTGAGCCATATCACCTACAGTCTTCAACCGCTGGTTGCTCTTGACCCGTGGACCCCACTCGGCTAGTCTGTATTGCCCTACATGGCTCAAACGAATAGTCAAGGACTTCATGCATTAATGCTATGTTTTAGTCTGGCTACCTCAAGGCTTTTCCAAGCTTGAAAATACTTCTGCCAACATTGTGTAACGGGACAGATGGTGACCTGGCATACATCACACATGTCTCAACTATATCAGTCGACGGAGGTTCACCGCATCAAATAACTTACCTCTTCTCCCTAAAACTCTACACCTGACTTCTATGTGATTCACGTGGTGACGCCACAAAACACGGCCTATACTACTAAGGCAACGGTGGTCAAACACCTGAAGCCTTCTCATGTCTTCTACCTTTAATGCCTATGTTTCACAACAAAGTAACAGAACAGAGCGAATAACAGCACAATACACTCGACCCTTAATAGACAGTGGGATACAGCAGTGGCGCCACAGGTGGCGTATGATGGGAAAAGCCAACCGAGCTTTTTTTATCCGTGAAGAGATTTCATCGGTCACTGAGTCATCACGGCAGAGCTGATCCGACTCCCCAGATAAGTGAAGTATTTAACGCGCCCAACCACTATACTCTCTATTGTTGTGGTTGAAGATCAGTCGTGAAGCAAGAGTTTGCATTTGAGTTGCAAGAAGTGCATTCCAAACATTCCCAAATCGCCACTCAATGCGTCCAGAAGATTTTTCATCTTGTCAGTTTCTTCATCTCACATGACTATGATATCTGCACATTCTAGGAAGTCGTAGACACATTACAAACTCATCTTACTTTGAAGTTAAATTACTTGAAAAATCCTCTAATTGACAGAGTACAAAGCATGTCATTTTGTTACTCATTGGTATAAATTTATAACTTACAAGTGCCATCACCACTTCTATACAGCTGAGCTGAGTTTAATTCGCTTGGTCGAATGGTACTTGCAGGTTGTGGTTTACTGGGGAATCCTGTATAAATATTTAGCTTAGGCTTGACTGAAATCCATTCACGATAGATTAATTGATTTGGACAATAATGGTAGGATAAGACCTGGAAAGGAAAAGAAAGTTCTCAGTATACTAGTAAGTGATTCAGTGGTTCAGCGGGATAACACTGTGAAACTTGAAACGACTGATCATCGGTTCGAGTCCAGGTGGAAATAGCATCACTCACTGGGAGGAGGTATATCCAGCTGACGAGTTTCAGTTAGGAAGAAACGCACTTACTAGATTTCATTGCTAGCCGCAATCCATGATTAATAAGAAGTCTGAAAATATTCACAATATAGAGGCATTCTCACAGGAGCCTAGATGCCAGTGGTAGCCGATTAATTCGGTCCAGTCAACGACGTAGATGAATAAACAATAGCATCATAGACTAAATGAAACCTGTTTGCTTCTCTTGGACATGCACCTGGTATATGCAACCAAGCAAGATGATTCGCTTTAAAATCATTTTATGACATAATACATTACCGTTCACAAATCTTTTGCATTTTCGAACCACTGATCCTAGACTGGTCTTCATCTGTGACACAGTCATGTCACATTTTATGATGCAGGTCATTTCAGACAGAGCGAAAGTAAAGGTTATTATCTAATGAATCGTTAAGATTATGGGTAAATTTATCTCCATTCAGACGTTTAGGAGTTAAAACTTGAACATTTTTGCAAGATTTATGATTGAATTGGATACTTACAGAAGCTAATAAAGTGATATTCTTTTTTAATTTACTCATCTGAGCTGCCGGCACAGAATTCCATCCAGAATCACTGACAACAAATATGGTTGAATAAATGTGTTGTGCTGGATATGGTGCGTACTTTGGTTCTTGTAATAGTAGATACCATAATTCCTTTGAAATTCTATTAGATGTTTAAAAGAAAAAAATGTTAAACTTATGTAAATAATCTGTATAGCCTTGAAAAAGAATTTGCTTTGGAAAAGAATTCGGTAAATCTAGCTACGTATACAGCTTATATTAGTGACAAGGAATTCCAGTTTTGGTTGACTATTAGGAAACACTTTATTGTTAGTACAAATGAACTTGCTGATGTAAACGGTAAGAGAACACAACTCAAAAAAATGTTACACAAGCATCTTTGCAAAGCGATTAAAATATATGACTGTCATTCAGTCGGTTCGATGTGAACGCCTGCTATAAAAGGGGGTTCTGTAGACCATGTACTTGAATCAGAGCACATTTTATAAATGCCTGCAGAATTTAACAATTATTGTACCTAAGCTTATTTGATTTTGCCTAGTTTTCTAATTCTGGATCCTGCCTCTATTTATGAACGGATGTAGAACAGTACGATGTTCATAAGCTGAAGACTTGTCCAGAATACACAAATAAAGATTTATTCCTCAGAATTCGACCAAAGATAGGAGAATAAAATAACCAAGTAAGTGAAGGAATTACTAAGGAAAAGAAACTTATCAGCAGATAGACATATAAGTAACTGAAACTGCAAGCATCGCGTTTACTATTCATGTATAAATAAGCTAAACAACATCGACCAAATATACCACTTGGATCCATTTTGTCTAGGATCAACTCCCCTTGTAATAAATTGGCTCGATGGTTGATAAATCGATAAGATCCCGTTCAAAAGAAGCTAGCCTGAAAGATATGTTTGAATTTGAGCAAAAAAATAGACGAAACCAGTATCAAAGGTAAACTAATGGCATCTTATTATATTTCAGTATTGTTCACTAACATACCTCCAGACAAAACAGTAGATATTGTCAGTCAGCTTTCTGATGAGATATTTATGCTCAAAAAGAATTTAAGAAGTTGTTGTTTTTCTACAATAAGTATGTACAATTTCAATTCAACAACAAATAATACTGACAAACAGATGGAGTGGCAATGAGAAGTCCTTTGAGACCCACCCTTAGGGATATATTTACGACCAACTTGGAAAAAGCTACAGTTTCGTCAGCAGTCAGTACAACTACAATTTTTAACAGTTATGCTGATGACAGATTTGTCTTATATAATGACATGGATCATGCCACAACATTTTAAAAAAATGCTTAGTTATGAGCATGGGGATATTAGATCTGCCGTGAACACGAAGCAAACAATGAATTTCCTTTTTTGGATTTGGGACTTTGACGAGGAAGATATGGATTGTGTTAGAGATCTGTCTACAGAAAAGAAACATCTTCACATTATATCCAAGAACTAGCCAAGACACTTTTGTTCATGGGACAAACTGGCTGAGGCGGTGTAAGAAACCTGTGTTGCTCTATCTGACTTTCAAAGAGGGTGACTAATCAATAAAGTTATTCGAAGAATTAGAACAGCGCTTAAATATGCAGAAAGTGGAGATTGGTTGAACTGGACTGGATATACACTGAGAAGACCGTTTGGGATAGGGTGATAAGAAAACCCAGTAAGTGAAGTGTTTTGGAAAACATTTGATATCGAAAAGTGGCTTGCAGATACGTGTCTCCTAGCATTAAAAAGATAGACAGACAACCATAGTCAGAATTTCATCTAACATTCAATTCTCAAACCACAGGTTCACCTATTTTGACAAGGATAAACCGGTAGCATCATAAATCTTCACATAGAAAGTATGCTTCATAGCTTAGTATGCAAATCTATTCCGGGTTGAGTTTCATGAATTTAAAGCCATTTAAAATTAACTTGATGCAACAGACTTTGAAGAATAAAGCAGTATTAAAAATGGAAGTCAGTTGGATGAACAAACGATATTCCTTTCGATAAATTCTTCTGCATGTTCTACAGTCACGTTTTGACAGTAATAATAGTAATAATCATAATCACAATATTCCAAACAATATAAATGACCAAGTATGGAATTCTCAGTACACAATATTTCAACAAAATCAATCTCTGCACATTATTATTTAGAACGACATAATTATTGTATATGAAGACGCCACATGCAAAGTATCTGACAATGGGAAGCTCAGCTCAGTGATGCCTTTCAAGTGAAGCGGAGACAGGAGTGAAACAAGGCTGCCGCCTACTATCACCCATGATATTCCTGATTGTGGTCGACTGGATCATGAAACAAACAGTGAGGAGCTGTGAGAAGAGGAGGATACACTGGCTGAACCGGGGACAAGAACCTAGAAGAATTAGATTTCGCGGATGACTTGTGTCTCATGTCACAAAAACTTGAAGATCTACAGGCGAAAACGACTAAATTGGCAGAAGAGGTGAGGCAGCGAAGACTGGACACCAAGTGAATATAGAGAAGACAGAGGTGATGAAGATACCCAACCAACAACACCAACACCAACAACAAGCTCCAATCACCATCAACTGGAGAAACCTAAAGGAAGTAGCCCCCTTCACCTATCCGGGCAGAGCAGGACTGCCTCAACTACAGGCGGCACACATGAGGACGTCAATGCAACCAGGATCGGAAAGACAGCAAGACAGGCGTTGATTAACCTGAAACCAGTGTGAAGATCTCCTGCACTCAATACAAAGCGTGAACAAGATGCTGATTTTCAACACCAATGTCAGTCAAGTCAGTGCTCCTTTATGGTTCAGAGACTTGGAGTGTCACGAAAGGGATTTCCAACAAACTACAGATATTCATCAACAAGTGCCTACACTGGCTCGTTACAGAAGCTCAGATGGATTGCCAGAATGATAAGAATAAGCAAGAAGGAAGTCACTGAGTCTGGCTGGCTGGCTGGCTGGCGACGAATTAATGAAGAATCTATCACTCAACAAAGTAAGTGGAGATGGATTGGGCATACACTGAGAAGACCAGTTGGGGGGACATCACGCGCCATGCCAGGTCGTCGAGTGGAACCCAGTTGGGAAGCGACGAGTTGGGTGTCGGAGGCGAGGGTAACATGGAGGAGATCGTGCGAGGAGGAAATGAGAGCTTGTGGGCAGTCGTGGATCCAGGTTGAAAAGATTGGAGAGAAGAGAGTGGAATGGAGACGTGCTACTGAAGCCATATGTTCCACTAGGAACCCAAAGGACAAATAATGGTAATAATAATAGTAATAATGGTAATAACAGGTGTTCTGTCAAGACTGACTTTAAACAGTTAACAATATTTTGTATTGTTGAAGAATAGTACATGTATGCTTATACTTTAATAGGTAATATAATCATATTTACATTCAAACATTTATTTGAAAGTTTTGTGTGTATATACTGAACTCAACTTCAGAGATAGTGTGCATGACAACTGTAACTACAACCAGTGCTTTCCAAAATAATATCTTTGCCTGATGTACTGCAAGCACTAAACAGGCTTAACTTTATAAATAATAGTGAAGTGAAGGTATGAAGAAAGAAAATGAAACAGAAAAAGCTGATGGTTAACATACAAATGATGATCTTCATAGAAAATCAACGTTTACGATTTTAAAATCTTAGGCAACGAATGGATAATAATGACGGATGATATGCCAATAGAGATCGATCAATTTAACTCACTCAACGACAGAATGATACAAGCAGTTATACTAATAATGAATAGATAGCTTGTGAAGTGATGAATATCCGCAAACATTTATATCATCAAGTTAAACAGTTGATAAAGCCTTCTCTTATTCGGTACAATAAAATTAGAAGCCATCTTGTTTACCGATCTTTAAACTAAATTTTATCAAACCTGGAAAAATGTTTTGGAGAATAACATGAATTTATTGAATTTGGTAGCCTTCTTTTCAGTTACATAAAGGCTACTGAATCATAAGATATGTAATAATAATAGTGGCTTTCTTCTGAAAACTATTTAGCGAAAACTCCACAGAATTTTCAGCATGTCATATAGTATCAACTGAACAGAGACTGTGTACATGTATGGATAGCAAAATGAATTATTACTATTATTATTTGTCCCTTGGGTTCCTATTGGAACATAGGGCTTCACTAGCAGCGAACTCTGTTCTCTGCGATCTTCTCAACCTGGATCCACGACTGATCTGACGGGATCCCATCTTGTCCTGCTGCTTTCCCGCATTTCAGTAGCTTTATGGCACTCAGGACTTCACTTTTGTTGGAGGATTTATGCTCACTTGTAGTTCTGTGGCTGGGCGGCAGGTGGTATTTCCGGACGAAGTGCAGATGGTGGTGGTGGTCGATTCAAGAGCTTCTTGAAGTCGTCGGCCCATCGTTTCCTTTCTTTCTCTTCTTTCGTAATTATATTCCCTTCATCATCTTTTATTGGTTTCATGTGTGTTAATCTCTTCCCAAATAATAACCTGGTTATTTGATACAATGTTGTCAGGTCTCTATCTCTTCTACCTGCAGCCTGTTCTGCTTCACTTGCCAGTGTGTCTTAGAAGTGTCTCTTGTCTTTGCATGCACTCTTCTTCACTTCTTTGTCCAGTGTAGAGTTTTATACATTGTACTCAGTTCCTCTTTCCATTGTTCATCCTTGCACTGCATTGGTTTATCTTCTGCTTCACCATCCTCCTCTCCCTGCTCTATCAGCTTCCGTGTGTCCGTCGAGATCCATTCCACTCTTTGTCTTCTCTCTTCTTCCTTCCTGATATGGTTTTGCAGGTTTCTCTCCGCATAGCTTTCAAAGACTTCCAGTGTTCTTCCATACAGGTCTCTTCAGGGATGTTCCTCAATATCTCCCATTTTGTCTTGATGGCTGCCGTGAAGATTTCCTTTGTAGTTTCATCCTTCACTTTGTGTCCTGAGTGTTGAACTTGAACTGTGGTCTATCACTGGTTTCCTTGAAGGCCTTTAACTTGATTTGTAAGGTTCCTTGCATTAGACAGTGAGTAATCTGAGCTTACATATGCTCCACTTCTTGACATTGTGCAAAAAGTAGACTGCGTCTCCACTTTATTGAGATTGAGATGAAGTCGATCTGATTTTTAGTGTGTCCTGGTGTCTGGTGAAATCCATGTCGCTCGCTTTGTGGATATCCCTGTGCTTGAACACACTGCCTTCAATCACCAAATCGTTGAGTGCGCAGAATTCTGTAAACAATTCTCCATTCATGTTCATCATTTCACCGAGCGCTTCTCGACCCATGGTTAGTTCTCTTCCTGTGTTGTCCATTCCCAGTTTGGCATTCATGTCACCCCACCCATTAGAATTTCGATGTCGCCAAATGAGGTCTTGTCCAGTGTTGATTGAAGTTGTCTGTAGAATTCCTCCTTTTTCCCTTCATCCACACTATTTGCAGGTACGTAACATTGTATGATTGTGACTTTCCTTCCTTTTGAGTTGAATCCATCTTGCTGTCATGATCCTGGAGGAGACTGGTTCCCACTGCATGAGAGAGAGCCTTCGATGCTGTTGGGGACATCATGATAGCCACTCCAACACTCAGTGTACTCGTGGTTGTCGCCTGAGTGACAGTATCGAAGTAGATTATTGACTCTCCTCTCGAGTTGACAGTTTGGAGACTCCACTCCCATTCCATCTGCTTTCGCAAATTCCAAGCACTTCAGTGTGATACCTTCTCATCTCGTTTGCAATCTGGGCTACCTTACTGGGTTCAAACATGGTGCGGACATTCCATGTCCCCACGTTTACTTTCGCTTTCATCGAGGGAGAGAAGACACATCGGCCTGGCCAATTGGCTTCCCGAAGGCTTTCACCACTCGGCGTCATTTCGCCTCTCCGATTCCAGTGGGGAATAATTTTGTTATTATTTTTTATATTTCGTTTTTGCTTTGAAGTTTCTTTAGTGGTTATACTTGTTTCACGGGTAGGGGTAGTGTTGCTAGCCCTACGCCAAATCTTCCCTGTTTACCCGGGGTTATGACCGGCTAGTAACTAGTGAACTAGTTAACTGGGCGAGGTACTACATAAATTGAGATGCTGGGTAGTGAAAGTCTGTCTGCAGGAAACTCTAGACCCATGGCTCAGAGCCGGAACCAAAGACTCAGCTACCAAGTCATTCGGATTACGACTGGACTGCTTTATCTATACAAGTTGCTCATCACTGTATAGCCCATTTAACTATCTAGTCTATAGTGCTTAACATTGTTCGAAGTCTGTCGATCGCGATCATGAGTTGTGCTGCTGAAATCTATTTTGCTCATGATAAATACATCAATGTGTACCCAGTAACCATCAAACTTTATGCTTAACAGGATTTCAACTCGAAGAAATTTCAATAAAAGATGATGTGGCAAACATATCAACAGATTAACAGTGGTGAACACAAAATTTTTTACTTACCCTAAGTTATTTTGTTTTTGTAAAAATTCCATAAATGGTAATGTAATATATGGTGTATATAATACTTGATTGACAATTTGTATTATTCCATTTGAAGCCATAATATCCGGTGACACAACTTCAGCATTGTTTACAAAATATAAAGATTTCGTATCAACCTTAAATATCAAACAGTATGAACTGTCAGTATTTCTAAGTAATCGTATAACAGATATACAAGTTCAGACCATCTCTCCTCCCTTCCTCCCTCCCTCCCTCTCTCTCCTCTCTCTCTCTCTCATATATATATATATATATATATATATATATATATATATTTCTTGTATCCATTTGAATGACCTCCTCTTAATTTAATAGGTTAAACTAGTTAATAATTTACCCGCTTTCAAGTTGGTAATCATCATGGAATGACATCACTTAGATAACCACTGAAAATGCGGCAGCACTGGAAAACTGTTCTGTCCTAGTATGGGACTCCTGAACGGTGGGTATATCCCATCTTCACGTCTCATGGAAATCACTTTGCCATTAAGTCACTTGGTTGGAAGCCTATGGTTGACATTTTCCTATTTCTGTCAGTTCACCATATAGTGCTACCATCGTTCAAAGTCGTAGTTGAATATTTAGCCTTATGTCCAACCTGGTTTATTCCAATCGGTCATGACTTCTCACTGACTCTCCAACTGATGTCAATCCGTGATAGAAACCAACTTGAAATCAATAAATGCCCACAAACCTCCAAAATGAATTACATTAACATTCTAGATTTCATCCTAATTTTCATGAAGTTCAATTCTGTAAACGTAACAAAAATGACTCTTAGTCAGCAAAAAGGATAGAAGTAATCTGATTGCAAATACTCTAATTTAATATAAACAGTTTTGGAAAGTATGTTTTCAGAAAGTTACATAATATTACTTGATTACAGTAATGACGGACAGTGGCTATCCGTGAAATCCAGGATGCGAATTTCGTTTTATTTGAGACTCATCAGCTGGATATGCCTGCCTTCTAGTGATTGATGTTGTTTCTACCGGGGTTTGCACTCGGGACCAATTGCTTCAAATACCAGAGCACTATTCACTAGACCACTAAGCTACGACAGCCACTTCTTATGCGGTGGGTATAGTTTTAGTATAATTGCTTGTATTATAGCGTCGCTGACTGGACCGAATCCCGATGGGAACAACCTCACTGACTGGGAGGCAGGTACATCCAGCTGATGAGTCCTAAATAGAACGAAATGAGCATCCTGAATTCCACCGCTAGCCACTATACATCATTACTATATAGGATTAGAACACAGGCGGTATCGAGACATCCTCACAGAAGCTCATATGCCAATAGAGACAGATCAATTCGGTCCAGTCAACGCCGGTATAAGACGAGCAATAATACTATCATTTGATTATGCTTATAGTTACTCTTAAAAACATTCATACATTTAAGAAGCTTTAGTCAGATATGTGCAAGACGCTGAATACATCTGAAGCAACTGAAAAAGTAAAATTTTGGTACATTAAATGTTTTCCTTAGATTATTACCTGCAAAATAGAAATAGTTTAGAAAAATTTACAGCGAACAAATATCTGGTTCAATATAACTGATAGGAAGATACGAAGTAATGAATAACTTCACTTCCTTCCTTCTTAACTTCTATACACACATCGCTCCTTAAAAGATTTATATTAGAACTCCATTTCAACTTTATTAGGACGGATTGATGTCCCATCTAGCGTTTACCAGTTGAATTCTTATGTTTATCCCAGCGAATAAAAAAACAAAGGTGGTATTCATCATAGAGTGGTATAAGTTGTAAAACCACAGCTGTTTCGTTCTAGTATGCGCACCTATGACTCCGTTAGGAATCAAGACCAGGACCTTCAAGCATGGTAGGGAACGTGTTAGTCAATCAATCAATGGGTCAAAGTTCCATAGTTCATAGCTTCCTACTTATGTCAGTTCACTATATAACACCACCAACAACCAATGCCATCAGCGAGCAATTGTTGTCACTCACAACCTGGGCGACTATTACTACCTCATTATGGAAAGTCTTTGCTATAATAGACATAGTCATTTGTAAACAAAAGTATTAAATGCATCATTACAATCTTTTGTGTTAAATTATAACTCCAGTTGTTCCATAAGTTTTATAACTTTATCCAAGGTTTACAGAGTTTAAATGACGCAGTCCCTCGGCATTTACTTCGTACTGGATATAAAGTTGACGTATTAAATCTATTCCAGATAATCAATAAACAACTGAAACCCACTAACGTTTTGAGGTTTACTAAAGCAGTTACAATTAAAAGACTCAACCCTGATCTATGTATTCCTAAAGATTCTGTTGTCAATCTTGCTCTACCATGGCAACTTTAATCTCCTAAATTTGTAAATTGAAAATTTCATAACCCTCTGTTTTCTCTCACTCTATTTTTCTACCTATTTCAAAACCTACTCCTAATCTCTGAGTTGCTTTCATCTTACTGTTCAATATGTTGAAAACATGTTAACCTTTTATAACGTTTACTTAATTATGATATCATTTTTATCAGTTCTTGGATAACATTTTGCAGAATCCCCCTCCCATACATATATTTATATACTGTTATCTTCTCTAGAATGTTCATTCGGTCACAATATAAATAATTAACCTTTGAGTAGTCTTGACAACTTTATCAATATCCGTCAATCTAAATCTTTGTTACCCTCCATAACTACACGGAAAATTCTAGTCGATTTACGAAGAATGTTATATGACGTGTTTTTTTCTCATAGACATTATATTCTATAGGTTGTAAAGAAGTTGAGGAAGAATCCAGGCAAAGGCTGCTAGGTAAGACAGGCAGGCAGATTCATGAGGTTGCGAAACTTGATTGATTGAGGAGGCTTGGATGTATTTTGTACGTAATGAGCCACCATCTAACTTGATTTGCCACGTTGTGAGAAGTTGAATTAGATTGTGGAAGGGTTCAGGATGGTAAGATCAAGACGTGGAAGCAGTTTATGAAATTCCTAAGTGTTGGTCTCAGACATGTGGGGAGATTCATACTACCTGAGACGGCAGAAATCTGTGGTTAAGGACTCCTGATGACTGAAGTACTATTCACTTTCTGACATCTAAAGTTTGAATATTCTCACTAATCTTCGTCCTCAAATTGTTTGTTCCCTTATACTACCTTATTTTCTCTGATATCACTCTTCTTCCGTCCATCTACTCTTTGTATACCACTATGAAGTTCAGCAACTTGAGCTGATGTACCCGTGTGCGAGGTTCTACATTGATTTTGACAGTCAGTCACCAAAATACATACATACTAATTCTGTTACTGTTTACCTTTTTGCTTTATAAAAATGTCTAGTTTTATCTATAAATAAAATATGAGAGATTTGTTTCGTCATGAAACATTCATGGGCTTTTAATTTACTCTTTTGATAAAATATGAACCTCACCTTCTGTTTACATGAATAATATTTTTTAAAACTTATGTATATGCCTATGCATTTAGCATAAAAAATAGTGTAAGCTTACAGTGGTTGAAAATCCAAATAGTTGTTTAGTAAAAAGTGTTGGGTACTCAGTACCAGTACCAAATCCAATATCAATAAAATTCATTTGTTGACCCAATTTTGTCCATTCTTTAGTTGTTACCCGAACAGATGATTGACCTCCTAATTAGATATATGATAAAATGAAATCACACAGAAGCCTATATATTAATGGAGACCGATTAATTCGGTCAAACCAGTGAGAGAAAATTTACAAGCAATATTTATATAATAATGTATTAATTTAGTTTTTTAACTACAAAATATATAGACAGGGTAATAATAATAATAATAATGTCCACTTTATTCCAAATAATTTTTACCATAGTTATTAATTCTCAGCATGATATATTGCAACAACAACGAAATATACGTATGTTTATACTCCTTTACAACATTTCTAGTTGTGTTATTATAAAAATTGAAGTAATGTAAAGAATATTAATAACGACAACATCTTAAATTGTTAAATTACTGAAAAGAGATTGTTAACTGTTACAAAGTTGATATATGAGCTCTGTTCTAACAGATTTTCCCTCACATAATGTGCATGCTATGTAAGGTACAGTCAGATTCTTCTACTTCGCTGTACTGGCGTGCAGTCTTATGTAGTTTCTTCTTGTCCTCCTTGATGAGTTACATAGAAAGAGCTGCGAATGAAGTAGACACTCAGTGTCAGTTAAAATTTCTGTAGATAATTGCTTACTGGAATTTAAATGTCTGTCAGCTACGGTGTTAATCAGTTGGGCCAGAGGCATACCACTCATCCTACTAACAACTTTCAATGCTCTACACAATATAACATAGTCGTTTTTTAGAAGACCAGGAAAGATCAACGGGGAACAATATAGAGGAGTAGGTCAAATACAGAAATTAATAAACTGTGGAAGTAGGCGCTCAGTTATAAGGCGGAGTTTCAGCTTCTTTATGTAATAAGTTAAACGGAAGATTTTCTTGGAAGTCAATAAGATATGATACGACCAAGATCATAAGTAAAACTCAATCTAAGATAGTTCACACTTGATTTACTTTCTGCAGAAATACCATCAATACAACAGGCGTCATGAGACTTAAACAGCTCAAACAAGTCTTCTTCACACATGGGGCTAAAATTAACGGTCTGACATTTAGAAGAGTTTAACTTGAGACCATTTGAGAGAGACCATTGGTTAATTACAGAGAAGAATCCATTAATTCAGAGCAATCTAAGTAAGAGTTGACTGGAGTAGACACTGTCAAGTCATCAGTACACCTAATAAAATTAGTTTCAACAGAATAATGTAAATCGTGTAAAAAGAAAGAGAACAGAAAAGGAGAAAGTACTGCACCTTAAGGCACACCAGCTTCAGTGAGCAATGAAGTTGAACGATTCCCTTTATAGATAGTGTATGGTTTCCTTTCAGAAAAATAAGAGTATAGCCGCTTTGTAGCCAGTGGCTCAGTAGGAGACATGGAAGCTCATTTAATAAGAGTGGTCGTGAAACAAACAAAGGCTGATGAGTAATTCAAAGAGGCACAACGAACATACTTAACACCTTTGTCTAGACTAGAAACAATATCATGATGCAAGACAGTGGCTGTATCTAAAGTACTCTTCTGGTGTTTATAAGCAAGCTGTTTTGGATCTCTGAAAACCACCAGTGAGGGGTCATGCACAAGGAGAAGTAATATCTCCATCGTCTTCAGAAAAGGGGAAGTTATAGCAATGGGTCGAAACGTAACATCTAATCCAGAAGTTGACTTAGCCCAGGTACAATTTTGATCTTCTTCCAAGCAGTGGGTATTATATTTTTAGAAAAGGATGGATTGAAGATATCAATAAGGGGATGACATAAAGTATCTGCACATTTTCTAAATATAATACTAGAAACACCATAAGGAACTAAGCTTTGAGAGGGATTCAAGGATTTTAGACATTTAAACACGTCTTGTGTATTAAAACCTGGAAAGCAGCTATCCATTTGACTTTGGACATTAGGAAGGATGAAATCAGCTTGCTGGTGTATAAATGACTTGTTTATCGCACAGATATCCGAACAAGCTTCTTTTTTCATCCGTTTTCGACCAGTAAGCTTTTTAAATAATTTGCGTATACTGGAAGAGTTCTTACACGATAGGAATTCCCGGTTGTAAATGGTATTCAAACTTTGTATTTCAGACTTAATTAGGCAGTTAAGTCTTTTAACACAAGGGTGATCTCTCGACTTATACAAACTTTCCTCTTCTCTTCAAAACCTCGTGGGCTGAGGAGAGGAAAGTCCGTCGAATCTCATGTAGATTGTTTCTGCAGGGCAGCAGATGTTGAGAAAGAATCTGAGACAGCTTGTGATATTGATGATAGTCTTGTCTAAAACTTCATCAGCAAAATACATCGCAGTCTATTTCTATACGCATGCTTCTCGAATGTAATATATTCTCTTGTAAATAGAATCTCTATTGAACTTTCTTGGAGAAGTATCCGAAAGCTTTCTTGTGTAATTTGCGGTACACTTCAGGCAAAATACGAACAATACAGGGGTCAGGATTTAGTGATAGAGCCCGTTCACGGGTTTCATATATGCAAGGTTCATTTGTAAATACTAAGTCTAGGCTGCTATCAAAACGAGCGGAAAAGTTAACCATATTTTCATGACCCAATGATACAAGGAAACTGCAGTCAAATGGGTTAAAAATCTACACAGACTACACACAACGAGTTACCCAGAAACGAAGCATCAAATACAGTGAATTCATCAGCAGTCTGGTGTGAGATAAATGTTATATATATATATATGTTTGTATTTGCTCAAATGTTTGGGACGACACTTAGTGGTAATGTGATCAATTTCTTCTTTAGAAGCATGCATAGTTGGAGGAGGACTAGTTTGCATTGATAAATGTTGCTACACGACCACCACCACATTTCTTCTTCGAAAAGCTTCGATCTTGTCGAAATAATTTGGAATTACTTAAGAAGACTAAGTCATCATCATACAGGTTATGAAGCCATGTTTCCTGTAGCACTATTACACCAGTGTTTTGATAAACATTTGTGGACAAGAGTGACTGAAGGTAATCAACCTGCAGTTTGTGCTAAGTATTTCCGGAATAGTCATTTGATCCACGGTCATAAGTTTGAGAGCCCGTTGCTATCCACCGTGGTGCTTCCTCTTAATTTCTTTATCAAATTGCAAAGCAATAGGTTGTAATGAATTTAAAAACGCTCCAGAGTATACAATAGGATTAGTTGACATAACTGAACGATTAAAATGATATAGAAGGGAGAAATTCGATGCATTATATTCTGTGATAAAATAAGATAGCCCAGATTTCAAGCAGATTTCAATCAGATATTGCTTACGTATTCTCTTACAAGACGATGTACCTCATCTATTGTGTGTGGCCTAACGATAGTTAACTGTTTGAATCTCTGGAAGGGAATTCCATTTCAACCTCATGATCCCTGGAGGGGTTATGGGCGTGCACTACAGAGGAGTCACATACCAGGACGAAACAGCTGTACAGTGCTCCCAGGTTTCCAATGTTCCTCCATCCAGCTCATGCCAGTTCATGATGAATTCCAACCTAAAAATGACATAAGTTCCCTCTTATAAATATATGATTATTTATTTCATAAAAGATTACTGTATGAGGAGGGAACAACATTATATTGACTGATCATTGAAGAGCAGTCACTTTCTTGTTATCTAGTTCTAAGTGCTCACCAAATCCTACTGATCATTTTCTGATGTGGTCACTAAGCTGGAAGGCTCACCATCCTACAGTGATAACATTACTGACTGCAAGACTGGGTGACATCGGTTTGAATCTCGCAGGAGACATCAGTTCATTAATGATGAGTACAAACAAGCGTTAAACCTAAGTCTAGTAGAGCTTTCTGCCGATCGCTTCCCACAAACTAATATCCAGTAAACATCAGTAAGTTCCATTTTGATATAATGAATCATTGGAAAGTTGAATAAGTTGATTATATTAAGACTAAGCAAACGTTTTACAAATAAAGTCATATAAACTTGAAATTTATTGAATGACAGATTCAATTTCTAACTGTAATAATGTTGTAATAAAACAAGGATAATTATACTTTTCCTACTTTCTCAACAAACAGTTTAGTGTTAATGTCAATTGATAAAGTATGTCTAAGGAATGAATAATCTTTCAGATAAGTAATACCAAAGGTAACTTATGCAACTACTCAACAACTGGTGCCCTAAACTATTGATTTCTTACTGATAATCTGTTCATAGCTTAGCTTAGTGACAATACTTTAGTCATAAGGATAAAATAGGTACCGAGTACTTATAGATGTGACCATTTAAGAAGTTTTAGTATGTATAAGGCATATCAAACCAGGTGACATATATGCACATGTTCAATCCATTCAATTTAAACTTGAAAGTAAAGCATCAAGAAAAAACACTCATGTTTTACATCTGGAGAGTCTTCAGGTTATGGTGATTTGAATTCTTTCTCTCATAGTTTGTACCCGACTTTTCATACTTTGATAAGTTAGTTTAAAACCATGTGAGATAAAGTAATGTGAAGTAGCAAATGTTTTTCCATATTAAACTCATGCAAATAAACAACTGTCATTTGGCTGGAAGGGATCAGCAGGAAACACTGGTCTACCTAGATTTCGTGCTTGTTGGCACTTATCAGCACGGAGTGTTTACAACCTCATGAGGACTGATATCCTCTCAGAGATTCCGAGCCACATCACTTAGTGTTGTAGTTAGCCGCAAGATGGTCGATAGAATTCGTTCAGCACTCAGGACTAGACAACAAGAAACTGGTTGTTGTTCAGTGACTAGTCAATGTATACAACTCCTATGCACCTCTTGAGTAGATTATTTTCTGTCTATGAAGTTATCACTACTTCCTTCCTCTATCTCTCTCGCTTTGTTAAAGTTAGATTTCCTTCATTGGTACGCCAATAATAATCACGAAAGGTGTAATCCAGCCAACACCAAAGGGACAAGCTGTTAGCTATGCTGATGCGCTAACAAGTATAATAGTAAAGTGTATGACTAAACGCTATGACCATTTAGTTTTCGCAGGCTGTTACTCTGTTATACTATCCGTCATAAACTCCTCCTTGGAAAGTATCTTTTATCATGTAAGCTCATCTTTGCTTTGTCACTGATGTCGTGTGCATAGGCTTAAAACTCTTCATTTAGAAGTCATTAGTACAAAGAATAACTTCATGTTTTCTTAGATGCTAAAGAGTTGATTTGACTAGATTACGCTTTTACAATGAAAATTGGTGAAGAAAGTATGAAAACAAAATATTATTATTACGTTTAATATTTTATAATTTCCTGTTTACTTCTTTAACATACTCTGTATAATATGTCCATGTATAAATGAATGCTTTCCAAATTCTCCTGAACTATACCATGATAAATCAGTAGAGATAAGATCAATTGCATCATTTGTCGGTAAAATTATTGTCAGACATTCATCGTCACCGAGACAACCAGGTTTTTCAAGTAAACTTTGTAATCCTATTTCTCGAATGAAATCTGTAAACTAGGAGAAATAAAGAAATTACTTTTAGGAGTAAATTACTGAAAGTGAATGTAATTAATTTTTATAATATTTAAACGGGGAGGGGGGGGGTTATTGTCTACCCTATAACTTGTTTCTAGTATATGTTTGGCAATAAATGAGACGGACGTTTATAACTTGAGCTTATCGTATCAGTTGAGTTCATTTGTTTTTGAAACCACTTAGAAACATGCTCAACTATTCTCAACTGCATATCACAGTTGCTCCTGTCTGTGAATGTACGCACAGACATTTATAAATTGATGAACACCGTAGGATTTGATACAATTACCTATGCATTGTTTTTGTTTACGTTCTGTCATGGAAATTGTCTTCTCTCCTATGATGGCCTTTGCTGCGTAGTATGATTGACAAATTATTGTTATTTTCTAGTTAATGTTCATCGTAGACTGACATCATTTGGAGGAACAATGGAAACCTGGTAGCACTGTACCGCTGTTTCTTCCTAGTATAGGACTCCCCAGTAGTGAGCACCTACGACCCCACCAAGGATAGATCCCGCGACCTTCAGGTTCCGTGACTACCACATTACCACTGGGCCACTGAGTTGAAATCCAGTGGTTCATATTTCCAACTTCTGCCAGTTCATGACATAGCGCAACCGCCACCTAATATTATCGTTGAGTACCTGTCCTCGCGACCATCAGGCTGGCCCCACCGGTCACGACTTCTCACTGGAACTTTGTGGATGCGCACTGCTGAGGAGTCCCATACTAGGACGCGACAGCTGTTCAATGCTCCCAGGTTTTCATTGTTCCTCTAACTTATGTTAATCTACGATGAATACGATGAAAATATTTCTAAATCACCACAACCTCCTTGAAATAAAATTATTGTTATATATTTTTCATAATGAAGCTATATGGATAATCTCTAAATGGCAGTAAAGTATAGATGCTTTTATTAGGAACTGAACACTGAATAGATCTGAATGCTAAACAACTTTCACATCTGTTGATAAATTTTAAAAGGTACCCATTCTGTAACTTTTTTGATTTCGTCTCACTTCGTATCATCGGTGCAGATGACATCTATCCTGTTGAATGAGCACAGAATAAACCGTATTTATATTTGACTGGACTATCGTTACAGAAAATAAAATATTTCTCTACCAAAGTTGGCTTCCTATAGATCAATCTTCTAGTCTAGGAGTCCTTCCATAGATTAACAGATATATTTAGATAAAGCAGCTGGTTGTTCATTTCTTCTTCACAGGTAAGTTTAACATGATTTTTGGCAGTGTTCATCTCAAACAAATGCATCGCATCATCACAAATATATTATCAACATATTTCTCATAAAGTGAATTATTTCCTTCAAAAACTATCATTTTATAGAGAATATTTTGCCTCAAGTGTAAACTGAACCTTGTCAGTACATTATGATGACAAGCGATTCAAAAAAACTAGAGGGACAGATAATATAAGACGATTTGAAGGAATATATTCACAAAAATATCAATCATTTTTACCAGTGATTCGTTATTAGAAGAAGGATTTACATTGAAGGATTGCACAGTCTTATTTTTGATATCACATAGACAGTGAATAAGATAAAATATATCTTTCAATAAGGACTTACATAAATGCTTTGAAACAGGACTCTAGAGTTCTATCAACCATTTAGCTAGGTTATGAGTGGGTGACTGATGCAGACATCGTCAGACTAAAGCGGATTGTCAGATTACTGTGTTTTACCTAACTCACATAGATACAAATGTTCTAATCTCATAGAAACCAGACTAAATTTATCTTTATTAATCAAACTTATATTCAATATTTTCATCAGTCTAGAGTTTAATCTTCCTTTCAACTGATATATTCCTTTAGACAGAACATTTGCCATAAACTTTCTGCCATCTCTAAGAATGGATGACTCCTTACTTTTGCAGTCGAAACAGTTTGTAACAACTCACCTGTTTATGTCACAATTATCTTGTAATTCTTCAGCTCTTCAGCATACTCATAAGCTAACATGCTTTTCTGTCTTGAACCAGAATTATGAAATTAATGAGAGATAAAAACTGATTTTAACTGTCCAAAGAAGTTTGAAAAAATTAGTATAGGTGATTGTATATATTTTCAATTTCGATAATAGTTGTTAGATCAGAATTTTAAGTTTAAAGAACACAAAAATTGAACCAAAATGAAAATTGTTTGTTTCTGAAGTATAAATAACTGAACAGGTGACAAATTTGTAAGATAATTGTTTAAATCTACAAGGAATGAATTCATTTGGTTGTTAGTAATCTGAAATTTGTTCAGCTTTGTTCTCATATTCTCCTCTTCTGTTAATATACTTAAACTGCAAAAATTTATAAGCTTAATCTAACAAAATAATGTCGGATAATAGAGGTGATGCATGTGCATGATATTCAGCTAATTTAATAAGCTTTTCACTCCAGTTTTCTAGGTGAAACTTACAAAGTTGAATTAGATACTAGACATTTAGATGTGGTTTGTTGCGATGCAGTTTTATAAAACTTTCTGGAAAACGTGTAATTAGGAGTGCAAGATTTATGAAAGTTCAATTTCACCTATTCATATGCGTCAACTCCTTCATCCCACTCTTAACAGTGTGCTGAAGTAGTCTGCTTTTAGAACTTTAAAACATTTAGTCCCGTTAGTCAATTTACAAAGGGTAATGAGAAGATGAAGATTATCTTAAGCATAAGATGCATTAACGTTACACGACAACTATGAATCATTTGCCATTTACTCATTGAAAAACATAACTATGTCAGATTTGATTACTGTCAAGTTCACAAATGTGTATAATGAAAAATTCGGAAGAGAAAGTTAATAATCACGACAGTTGTGTTTTATTAATATGGCTGGAAACCACGCAAGTTGTTCAGTATATCGGCGTCCGAGTACGTCACTCATGAGTCCAGTCCCAGACAAGCAAAACGGCCGTCTGGAGTTTAGATCACTGATTTGACTGGAGAAATCTATAGATCAGGCTAATAGGTTTCTAACTACTCCAGATGTTCATAAGTATAATGGGGGTATTTGGAAAGCTTATTCAACGATGAAGTTAGATTCATGAAAAGTTAATAATTCCTCACTTCTGTTGTAATCAGTACGATATATCTTTACTGACAACCACACAGTTGCACTTAAAAGGTGGCTGACAAAATGATAGTGTTATATTAGCAATAAAAACCAACGAAACTCTTATCGGGAATCTCCCTCAATATAGAAGCGACTTGAACGAATGCAGCTTTGCTGAGGACGACAGTAGCTAGTACTGAAACCGAAGTCTTTAACAATATTATTAGCTTAGAACTTCAACTTAAGTACCTAAACATTTTATTGACTGATACTTTCAATTTCCCATTGTTATTTTGGATGAAATTGATCAACCACCATCGATAATAGGACATTACAAGTATCAATAAATAATAATGATAACTCGTACGCATTGCACTGACGTGTCTCAATGGGACAATGGATAACGCTATCGCTGAAATGCAAGTACATCCAACTAACAAGCTCTAAACAGGACGAGATGACCGTCTTAGATTTCATTTCTAACTATAAATAAATAAATAAAAGAATATCCATTCAGTAGAATATTGAATAACCCAGAGATGGTAAAAGTTACGTAAGTTACATAAGCTTTGTACGCAAGTTTTATATTTCAAAATAATGAACCACTTAATTTCTATTAATATAATTGTAATCTATAGTTTAATGTATCATTCATTAGTCAACACTGTAAGTGATGTAAAGAATGTCCCACCTGAAATGGTCTGAAATTCTTATTGAGTATAAGGAACTTCAATTACTTGATGTTTCATTATTTCATAAAAAGAGTTCATCAGTCATAATTAACTGTACCTCGGAAGGAATTTATGATTTCTATCATTGAGGTAAAAGTATTTGTCATTTCATTACACCAATGACAAACTATAGTGTTGAAGTAAAGAAACACTACTGTTTTGAACATTTCCAACTGATCACTAATTTATTTCGATTACACAGTACTATTTGAAACATGAAAACTTTGTCTGTCTATCTGTCTATATGCCATATGATATTTACGTGGTAAGTAACCTGTTAATATAAGATATTTCCGTGTGCTAGAATGAATATTTGGATTTGAAAGGCCACAGTTACAGTTGATATTCACTATTTGTGGACGACAAATGAGTATTCTAAACACTCAGTTGACTTACCTGTTTCCTTTTGATTAAAGCTTTTCAATCCAATTCATTCACTAACAAAATTTACATTTAGTGCATAGTTTTGAAATCATTACCATTCCTTACTCAAAGCAAATACCTTAACTATGAAAGGCTTTATATTACAATGGTTATTAATTTCAATCATATTGAGATTTGGAAAATAACGGCCAACTTCTGTTAAGCTTCCTGACTGGATGTAATAATGATCTTCTACAAGTTTCAAGATCAAGGCTATGAGTTTCATATTGTTGAATCCTTATTTCTATATTGTTGCTGATATGTTAACAAATAAACTGAATATCTTAACTCATATGAGTTTTAGACCTTTCATGTGTTATTAAAGTTATCTAGCTAGATTTTAGGGAGAATGCTATTTCTCTTCACACTAACCTGTCACAACACTGCTTGCGTATGATGGAACCACTATGTGAACAATGTGGAGGTCAGGCAAATAGTACTGGGCAAGATAGACAACTGAGATGGCTTGGGCATGTACTACGTATGCCAAACCATTCCCTACCTCTATGTACCATGCTAGGGAAAGCTGGATGAGGTCAGAAGAGGGCTCAGGATGGTAAGATCAGGATGTAGAATCAGTCCATACAGTCCCTGATTGTTGGTCTGAGCCATGCGCGGAAATGTAGACTACTCGAGACGATGAAAATCCATAGTTGAGTACTCTTTATGACATATTTGCAGATCAATCACAATGGTGTTAATATATTCACTCTTTGACACCTTCTAAAGCTTGAATATTCACACCAACCTTCATCCCCAGACTGTTTATCCTCTCACAGAACTCTATCTCTTTTGATATTAGTCTCTTCTATCGACTTGTTCTCCGTATACAACTGTGAAGTGTGGCAACCTGAACGGATGCTCTATGTGTTTGTCACGGAAAGAACTCATTTACTAACCATACTACTGAGCAGTGAAAAGATTATACCATCAGAACAACTTCGGTGCAATATAATGTTATAGAAGTTTATAAGTTGATTTAAGAAAAACAGCATGGTGGATAAATAAAGGCAGATAGACATTAACTAAGTAAATATACAATCACTAACAGGTAATGAAACTCACTTTGGATACGTTCGGATAAGAAGTGATAATCTGCCATAAGTTATTATCACTAGTATTTTGAGCATTATTTGGTAAGAAATACAAGATAACGAAGCATAAAAAAAGTAAATAATTCCTCCTTGAAAATATCATTTCATTTCTATCTTTTCAATAATTTATGATCCAGTTTAATTCAATGAATAAGATGATATAAACTTCGTACAATGATAAACTGAATAACAATTAATTCTAATGTATTTATACCTTCATAATGTTAAATAAAAACAAATCGTTATAAATTAGCAGGACACATTGTATAACATGTAACATTGTAGTTCAGACATAGAATTACACAACTGAAAAAGATGAGTAAGTAGATATACAGATAAATAAATGGTTAGTTAATGTTGGTTTGATGACATCCGCTGTCTGACCGATATTGAATTATTCAACCGTAAACAATATTCATCTAAATTAAAAAGAATTTACAAATGTGTATAGATTTAAACATGTTACAAAATATCACAGAAAGAGACGGAAGTTTAGTTTCAGCCAACTGTGTACTGAAATTATGAATTATATGGTACCATTAGTAAATTTGAAAGATTCATATAAATTTTTCATAATCCAGTATGTATGGTATGTAGATACGTTGCATAAACTGAAATATCATAATTTTAGTCTATTTTATTGTTTAACTTTATTTTTTTTACTCATCATTATTAAAGAATGGAGTATATCTGTTCATTCTTCCTTAAAAATCTCCATTATAAATTGAAAGTGATTTGAATAAACAAAAAATATTCAGTTAACTTCCTTGTTTTCAGGTCCTTTAGTCATATGTCCATAATGTGTAGTTCTACTTCATTTCGACTATTCCTATGGAGCCAGTTATGTCAGCCTCTGCTCTAGATGTTTAATTTCCTATGCTCATCAACATCTCCAAGTGTGGTTAAGTAAAGATGTGGTAATGACATTACTATTATTATTTATTATTTGTCCCTTGGGTTCCTAGTGGAACATAAGACTTCAGTAGCACATAGCCATTCCACTCTCTTCTCTGCAGTCTGCTTAACCTGGTTCCACGACTGTACACAAGCTTTCATTTCTTCCTCACACAATCTCCTCTATGTCACCCTTGCCTCGGACGTCCAACCCGTCGTTTTCCCTTTGGGTTCCATTCGAGGGTATGGCCTGACGCGTGATGTTCCCAAATGGTCTCCTCAGTGTATACCCAATCCATCTCCACCTTCTTCTGCATATTTGTTGGGTGATGGGTTCTTGGTTGGTTCGTTGACAGACAGCCAGACTGAGTTCCTTGTTGCTTATTCCTATTATTCTGGCCATCTGATCATGAGTATCGAGTGAGAGTAGGCGGCATCTGTTGATGTACGTCTGCAGTTGTTTGTTGGAAATGCCTTTCGTAATGCTCCATTACCAACCCCATATTATCACGCTTGGTTCAAACGAACCATAAGGGGGATATTCATGTATTGTTTTCCATAATTTATCACGTTTCCGTCAACTCGCATAAAGGTACCCAGCTCGGGATCTCTTAAACCATAAGATCAGTTAAAATCAGGATTGAACTATCTGAGGTGTGTGCTGCCACTGAAACTACCCTGGCCAATTTCAGGATACGCAAATTTTTTAACATCCTTCCTCATGTAGATATCCTTAACATGAATAACATTCTATTAAGCTACCACTCCTCAAATGGTCTTATATGTTTTCATCCAACTCACATAAACTACCTTTCTATTATTTGATTAATTTATCACTTTACGGCATTACTTACACAGTATAATCGTTTCGAAAATCAGTTATTTCGAATTAAATTCTAGGAATAATGTTCACAAAAGACTTTTCTAAGATGGTTTCCTCAACTGTATAATAATATAACCAAATTGATAAGCGAAATCTCAATATAGTTGACTCAGAAATTATACAGTATAGATTTTTAAATGCTCAAAAATACGGTACCCCACTTATCCTATGATATCTGTCTGGAATTGGAGATTTTTGTGCTGTCTGACTAAACTACCAGCACCACTAAAATTGCACTTCAACATTCAATATTCAATATAGATTGCATAATCATCTTCAAGTTTAGACCAGAAGCCTGTTTTCCACTAGCTGACTGTTTCATATTTGTGCCTTGAATAATGTTATGATTTACACTTTATATACAATAATTATTTCGTTTAAAAAAATATTGTACAGAGATTGAATTTGTTGAAATATTGTATACTGAGAATTCCATACTTCTATCATTTATATTGTTTGGAATAAAGCGATTATTATTATTATTATTATCGTCCCCATTGCAGACCGGAGATAAGTTAGTGAATGACCAGATGTATGAAGTGGCCTGAATTATTTCATTACCATTACATAACTAAGCGACATTACACTAAACACAAGTAAAAGAGATATAAAAATGATGGGTAAAAGGGCGAACAATAAGTGGAAGGGAGGGGGGGTGTTCTTTGCATTAAAACCAAATATGGAGCGTTTTCTTCAAGAACTGCTATGTTAAAACTCACTTCGTTTACAGTTTGGTATCCGTTGGACTTCATTACTTCTTTAGCAAACATCGAAAGACACTAGATGTTTTACTGTGATCTTAGTAAGCCGAATTTTTTATTGGCCAATGTATAACTAGCATAAGTTTGATTTCTTTTTCGAAATATGTCGAAGAATACGCTTACTAGAGTTGCACTAGACTTACGTTGGTCACAGTTGTCGTATCTGTTGCACATATCTTCAGAAGACAAGTCAGTAATTCTTCATCTGACCCAACACTTAAAAGTGCGCGGTAATAGACTATGTATATAGAAACAAGCATTAGTGCGTAACCACTGAAATTGCAACATGTCATATCAGCACAGCAAGTAACAAAGTAGTAAAATAAAAGGTGAAGAAGGAGAAAAATCAGCCAAAAGCAGTAAAAGAGAGGAAGGAGGAATAAGAAATGCTGTGTTCAGTATGATGATTCGGATGAAGATAACGTATGGATACATCTACACCACTGCGATAGATTCTGAGCCATGTCACCTAGAATCTCCAACCACTGGTTTCAATTGTCACTTGGACCTCTATCGGTCAGTCAGAATCTCCTTAAATGATCAAAATTAACAGTCAAAGACTTCATGTAGTAACGTCATGTCTTAGTGTGGCGGCCGAAAACCTTTTTCCAGCGTGAACTTAACTCAGCCAAGGTTTTGTGACGAGGCAGACTAGGCATGCTTAACACATGTCCCAGTCACCTGAGCCAAGGAAGATTCATAACCCTATCAACTGACTTTCCTCTCCTCTCTAACACTTAAGAAATCTGACCTTTCTCAGTAGTTCACACAAAATAATTTATAGAGTGTCCCTCTTAAATTTTAAATGCTTCCTACTGTCTTATCTGTGCATAGCTGATTCATCGATAATTCACAACCTTAAACCTGATTTTTGTGTTCATAAGCGCTTCGTTTTCATTAGCTTTATTATGTTTAACGTAATAGTTTTCTTCTGTCTTGGAAAATCTTCTACTCTACCCTTGAAAATTTTGGCAATCACGTTATTTGTTTCCAGTAGTTTCAATTAAGGTTGTTTAGTTTCGAACATTTAAAGATTTCCATAACAAAAACAAAAGAATAATCTGAATGAGGAATATTCTTGTTTGGCACTCACAACATCCCGTTGTTATGCAGGGTCAGACTGCTCGACCTGTTTCGGCAGATAGGTCGCGATACTTCTGGATATCCATGATAGTGCATTCATCTTAGTGACCAATAGTGAAACCCATAATATGCGTTTCGCTCCTCCTAGGATTCCTCAGCTGAATATATGTGCATCTCAATAAGCTATGTCATTCCCACTGAGATTCGAATCAAGTATTCATCGTTTCAAATCCCAAAGCATTATCCACTAGGCCATCAGCCATCTTATATGCAACTGATATCAGTTTTCATTGAAATTTCAACTTCAATAAATTTCTTTTAAATAAATTCTAATCAGATTCTACCATTATAAAATGCAATTGTACAGCGTAAAAACAGGCTAAGTTATAGGCAACTACATGTGATATTGTTTTCAGTACATCAAAAGCTTTATTAGCGCATATATGTGATGTTCCATGTTTATCAGGCGCGCTAGGACAGGATCTTTCGTCACTTTCATTTCACCTTTTACAAACCAAGTTGATAAGTGTCCTCGTATTCAGAAACGTGTCCGCTTAGTTGAGGGCCCTATGTAACTTGCTCCGCAGCAACAGTTAAATTGATATATGCAAGACGAAGAGCTAAGACTAGGTTGGCTATCCTTTAGCTCCGGATTGAGCATTGGTCGACTACTGATAGATATGCAAAGACGACCTGCATAAAATGTTTTATTGACTGTTCTATCTAGGCGTTGTAATAGGATTTTACTTTTAATGTCTCGCCTGAATTTTAATCATAGAAACAAATTCTTCTTCTTCGTTGTCATTAATTCTCGTTTGATGAGCCTTTCAAGATATCCGTTCCCACTTAGAAGATTGCGGATGAACACTCTATATTTCTTTTCCCACATACTCCTTGGAAAAAATCAATCTTACCGTAAATGCTAGGCACCTGATTATATCATCTTTGTACTTTACCCGTGAGAAGCTGAGAAAGTGTAGATTTTCTAAATATGCTTCTCAGCATGGAGCCATCTTTCTTATCATAGCAAATTAAGAAAATGTATGGAATCACTGATTTCATTTTTATAAGTAGAATGAACTGGTGGATGAATGGTGTTGAAATGATTCAGAATAGAATTAATGTATAAATACTTATCAAAGATTAAAATACTAACATCCATAAATCAGCAGTACAACTCCATATTGGGAATTTAGTCTTTCAAAATACCATTTTCCAATTTTTCCAAAACTATGCCTTCTAATATAAGCTGGATCTCAGAGCCACTCTATCAACTTGCATGAAGGTTAACTGCACACTCATTGTACATAATCCCTTCAAACTCATAACAGGAATGTCAGTGTCTAATTTTCTGTCTAATAATTGTAGCTTAACAATTGTAAGTGTTATCCGTGGTTTCAATTAAACAAGGGTTTACCATATCGTTCTATTTATCATTCGATAAATATATCACCTTGATACTGACAAATTAGAAACGAAAATTTGATTTTCATACAGTCCCTAAATTTCATACCATTTTGAAAATGTATTCACCTGAAATTTGGCCTATTTTTACTCTGTTCAATTGCATTTTATGTTGATGAAAACCGTGATGTGCATCTGTAAGTTCTATTGCTTATGTGAAATTAAAAGGTATAAGGCGCTTCCGCAAAAAAAATATTTATCAGCGAGGCTTCTGAAAGGTGAAATTAAGAATATAACTAGTTGAATATAGTCATAACTAACGGATATTGGTCCTACAGTGGATATCTAGACTGCTTACTGAGTAATAGTAAGCAGACAAAAATTTCATCTGTAAAAGTCTAAAGTTAGTAATATAAAGGTTACTAGAACATGTTTTATTAATCTTATTACAAAAAATAATGGCAGTAAAACCGGTTCTTTATTAGATACTGTCTGATGATTAAATAGGGAACAGATGTTCATTGTGTAACATGTTATTTAGTGTAAACTGATTCATTTACAGCCAACTTAAATAAACGTCTATCTATTTCCTAATGATGGATAGTGGCTAGCAGTGGAATCTAGTACGCGCGTTTCTTCCTGTTTGGGACTTGCAAGCTGGATGTACTGGCCTCAGAGTGAGCGAAGTTGTTGCCAGTAGGACTGGAACTCCGGACTGATTTGTTCTAAGATTAAATGACTGATTATTTTAGATTTATGGAGATTTTACTAATTTCAAGGTACTACTCATCATAAACCTTAAACTGCACTACTGCTTACTGCTTGTTGGTGACTGGCTTTGAAATAGATATCCCAGAGTTCTAATGAAAAACTGTGACCTGTGGAAACAACAGAGTTAAAAGTAAAGTGGATGCCAACTGAAGATTTTAGGGGATAATCCTACCATATAGCGGACTGATAGAAGTAGGAATCTATAAACCATCGAACTCCGACCTAGTGGTGGATTGGTTAGTGTACTTGCTGTGAGACCTGAGGGTCTAGAGTTGGATCCTCGGTGGGGTGGGGTCCTTGATGCTCACTGCTAAGGAGTCTTATACAAGGACGAGGTAACTCTTCATTACTCATATGTTTTCAAGTATCCTCCACCTGATGCTAGTCGGTGATGAATTACGACTTGAGACTTATTGTATGTCCGCTGAATGTGAATCCATTTCGGTTCATTATTTTATGTCATACTTTATTTGTACAGTATGTGATAGTGTGTCAGTGCTTCACAAAAAATTCCAGGAATCCACTAATTAGGTTTGATTCATATATTGGATCATAAGTGCTCCCAGTGAGATAGTCTTGAGATCAGGGAATATCTTAGAAGCCATCCAATAAATGCTTACTTTGTACGGTTTTATTTTGAATTTCAATAGTCATACTTTCGGCTATTTGGTTAGAGGTTACTGTTAATGATATAATCTCGATACTCTTCTTTATTTTAAGAGGATGAAGCTGCCTTGAAGTTAGATGAGATTTATTAGTGGAAAAACAGATGTAGTTTGACGTTTATGGGGGATTTTGTTTCTTTCAATATAGTACTTGTCATGAACTAAAATCGGTTGAACCGCTAAAATCTGACCTAATGGTTGAATGACTAAAGCGTTCACAGCAAGACCTGAAGGTCCTGAGTTCGGTCCCTGAAGAGTCTGTGAGTGCTTACACCTGAAGAGTTATATTTCAGAACAAAATAGCTGTCCAGTGCTCCCAGATTTTCAATGGTTCTCAAACTGACTTCGCTCTGTGATAAAAACTACCTAGAAGTATATAAATGCATCATTGGAATTCACCAACCAGTGTTAACCTGCTATCAATCACAGTTACTTGTTAAATCTTTTCATCTATAGCAAAATTTATGCTGTAAATAAAGTAAAATAGCCATGACGTCATTTTAAGAATGTTATCAACTAAAAGGCAAGATCCAAGTTTAACTTGCATGGAAATTGGAAGAAGAACAATATTAATAATAGAGTAAGGTTTTGAATGATCCCATGAAATGTGAAATAGTGCACGACAACAAAAGTTCATATGAGCATTTTT